GAGCTCCCACTGCTTCGGAGAGTGAAACATGTGGAACAGGTGCGTGTCCAGCAACAGTAAAGCCACGTATAGTATCATTCATGCAAATCAAATCTTCTACATTATATATATGTATATACCGGTGCGGCTGAAGTAGTCCAATAACAAACTAGCTAGCTAGGGCTCATTAGTTACTGATTTTGTAAGCGTATATTTGCCATCAGATATATGATAGGCCATATCGTCATTTATTGCTAATGCTGTCACTTCTTTCATGACGTTTTTTAAAACTAAGTCCTCACTATTCGGTCCACAGAAGTGTTCTTCTTCTTCTTGTTGTTTTTTTTTTGGCCTTACCCTACTCGATCCTTTGAATAACATATAATTCTCTAATGTCAAACACTAGCATTAATGCGTGATCACCATTCGACTTCTTCTTTCATAAGTTCCGAAGCGCATATATGTTACGTATAGATGGCCGAAATCTATCTAAACAGGTCCACATACATACAAATTTAAAGGAGGAACCGAGATCTACAGACGTCGAGGTTTAAAAAGGAGGTGAGAGACACGTACGTAGCGAGATATATGTGATGTCATTTCATTAAGTAAACTAGAAATTGTTCCATGACAAAGACAAGTTCTTCTAGCCGATAATGTATGCGTGTGGATGTAGCAGCACTTTTGGTTTTTAGGGCATATGGGTCGCTTCGTCAATTTCCTTAACTGTGAGGTTATCATGAAAAGTGACCATTAATTGCATATGCAACTCCCCAGCAAAGGTCGGCATCATTTTGCTCAAATCATTCCACTGAGATGCACCCTTATCGCGTCACAGTCAGCTAAACTGAAGATAAATATTGTCATACATATGCATAAATTGAGGTATTAGAAGAGATATAATTTCCAAGTTGTATTTGTGTGATGAAATGATTAGATAAAGCTTAATCCTATATATGCTTGACGCGCTTAGTGGAAGAAGCATTTATAGAGAGTAAGATTTTGTTACGTTAGCACCATTGTCTCTTTAGGGTGCGTATATGAGTGAGAAGTCCAACATGGAAGAAAGGTATCAACAAACAAGCAGAGCATCATCCATCGTATAGTTCTCAGAGCAGTGACGACGACCATGTGCATCCAAAAAGTTTAGATATGGAGGCACACGCCTTCCTCAATCAATTTAATAAGTATGTATATGTAATGTGGTAAACTAGATATACGTCCTATATATTATTTTCAAATGTCCACACTATCTTAATTAAATGGTTTGGCAAATGCCACCCCACTTGTATATAATTCATTATGAGTCTTACGATTTTTCATATGATCACATACTCATCTCGAAATTCTCATCTTTATTACTCTGACTATTTGTCTAATTGTTCTTTGATCACCAGCATTGTTCACTGTACTACAGCATTGCTGTTCTATAGCAGTTGAATAAAATTTTCCTTTCAACTTATAGCTGGTATGTTTTAATTAAAAACCTCATAGCAGTTCGTATATAGTCATTACTTATACTGATAATCTGTCCTCTCAGCGCTAAGAGGAGACATATCTCCTCCTCTTTATAATATCTCCCTTCTAGGTTGGCAATTTCCTGCGAATCTATTTATTCTGTCGTTTTTTTAACTTCCATTTTCATGTTGATTCTTTCTACATCTTTAGTGACTTAATCATGAAATCGTCAAAAGAAGTCTCACAGAAATATGATTAATCTTAGGATGAAAACATGCATGTATATGTATTTTCGTGTTATAGTTTATAAGTTTTGATGACGGAATTAGTATGTAGTTAGATATATCTCCATATAATAACTTCACATTTTTGTATGCGTGGGGACATTTCTTGAAGGCCACAATTTCATCAACGAGAGGGAAATTGTGAAACCCAAACGAAGAGACATATGTGACCCAGAAAGAATACCGAATGCAAAGGGAACTGAGAAACACGTGGTAGTTAATCAGTGCCAAAAGTTTAGGCGTAAAGCTAATTTATCGTATACGATAATGTCGCATCGTCCCAACATCTAAAACCAAGTTGCCATATGAAGCCACAAGTGTTCCACATGGGAAAGATTTTGGTCCAAATTAAGTTAGGCAGCCAAGAAGTGAGGAACGTTATGAACCAGTATTTGTATATATTCAAAGGATTTCCACCCTGGACATATGCCTTTTCCAACAACAAAGAGGATAGAACTCAGAAACCAACTTGGCATATATAAATTTAGTTATTGATATATGATGAAAGCCACTTTTGGTCACAGCAATAATAATATAAATCTTCTTGTTTCAAAACACACATTATTAATTTGCCGGCTACTTAAATTTGGTGACAGAACGACTACCAAGTTTTTGCAAAACGTGACATTTTGGAGCATAAATCAGAATTGTTCATCAGAGAAATGAAACAGAAGAAGGGGATTCCAGTTCTGCACATCAGTGATGAACTTAAGAGCCAAAAGGACAAGAATAGAGACAAATCATATCTGAAAGGATTTTCTGCAGAAGGTGCAGTATATATATAATAAGAATCCTAGATAGTTATCTATAGACATATACTTTTCAAGATTGCATAAAGATTCATGCATTTAATTAGTTTAATGAGTCAACATTTTTTTCTTATATTAGCTTATCATGTAAGCGCCAAACACTTGCACTTTTTTGTTTGCCGATTAATTAAATTCAGCAGAAGCCTTTTTGCATGCAACTGGTGAAACAAGAGGCACATGCAAAAGAATTTTTCAGTTTAACTTTGCAGTCCTGTTCATGCATCTTATATCGAGCATCAATCCAAGCAGTATTCGCGAGCTCCAGAAAATATATTACACTATTATTTATATATTTCCTCATTTGTTGGAGGGTATTATTTATTAATCAAAATGCATATGCATGAGTCGTCTTTATGTGTGTGTGTGTGTAACATTTGATGCCATTTTAGGGTCTAGCTAGCTGTGCAAATTAGTTAAAGCATTATCGGCTCTATTCGTGATGATTGCCTACTAAAGATCACTCCTTCGAGAGGTATGAAGCTTGGACATGAGAGGCGGTAAAGGAGGTTGGATATTAGGACAGGAGCAGATATCTCAAAATGATTCAAAGGTGGAGAATACAATATCTAACGTACAAAATCTTTTTCATTTGTTTAAAAGTTATTGATTCGCTTACATATATACACGTCTCAAAAAGTGATTGAAAATATCGAACTCTCTGTATCGATTTATCGATAGCTAATTGATAAGAAAATTGAGGCTGAGAAACATGCACGCTTACCAAATGAATTGATCGTGGTTGAGGGAATTCGCATATTCTCTGTATAGAATATTAAAAGATGATAACATATGACACTGTTCATCAACCATCAACTTATATTATTAATCAAAATCTGAAATTATTGCTTCCACATGAGAAGATTTGATTTCCCATTAATTCAGCAGCCCAAGAGAGCCCCAATAAATTGGAAAGGGACCCTTCCTCACCACTTGGCCACCATGCAACAGCATCTTTTCAACGTTATATAGGGGAAATCAGATCAAACTATGTTGGATTCCACCAACACATGCACCTTCAAGAGATACAAATTCAAATCAATTCACAGGACATGTCCAAGCATGTCTTGCCTGTCATGACCTGTAATCTCACTCAGGTTTTGTTGAATCTTACCCATGCCTTCTCAGTATGTTAATTTGCAATTTGAATCCAACAAATCAGGAATGAATTACCTGAATAATGACCTTTTTATTCATGAAGGAATTAATTTTCTAAACTTGACGAAGAAAATATCCGATAAACTTAAATCCTGAATTTCTAAATACATTGTTAACTACATTTTTCTTCCGAGTGTGATGAGTTAGTTGATTTTTACTGCATACCAGTGTTTATTTGCACAACTACTTCGTTAAAATAATATTATTTTTTTAATTTAAGGATATACAATTTAATGCATTTATAGTTATTCCATTTTTTTGGAATAGATCTCGAGTATTACATTAGCTTAGTTAATACTTGATAACATTAATGAAATAAATGGCGTTTGTAGCTGCAGGCCTCATGGCTACAATTAAACGATAAATGGGCTCGAGTCCATTGGATCTGACATTTCCTGGGCCGGAAGTTCTGGCCTGTATAAAAATGTCTGCGGGCTTTGAATGTGTGTCTGTGTGGGGGCAGAAAGAAAAGGGATAAATGAGGAATTCTCTTGCTGTGCTCGGAAATTCAATTTTACTTCATATTTTAGATTTAGATTGGAAAGTTTTGAAAAATGAAATGTAGATGCTTGTTGATTAAAAAAATAAAAAGTGTAACAAAATGTACTATTCACAAATCACTCGTTTTTTAAATCTCCGTACAGTAGTTCACATCGCACACCAGCTTTTGTATAAATAACAGGCTAAAGGTTAAGACCATCTGAAAACATCCCAAATATTTGGGCACACAATAATCTGAAGGCATTAATCTTCGTTCTAAAACTTGAAACTCTACATTTCGGAAACGATATACATACAACTAATTGACGTTCGAGACACATGACGCGTTTAAAATATCTGCTATTACTGTCACCAACTTTGAGGGCGTTTTTCTTGCCGCCGGAAACTTGAGATGGAGAGCGTATAATTTGATCCCCGAAAATTTGAAGTGATGATTCTTAGCATGTTAATGCTTGAAAAAGAATCCTAAAAAATGTGTATATTTTAAAATTTTTTTATGAAACTTTAATTTTCTAATAAATTGAGTTATGTGCAATATTTGCATTAATCCCACACATGGTATGAAAATCCTGACTGAACTAAACATAACATGAAGCAATTTTCTGGGAAAATAAAATTTTGGAACAAAGTAACTAATCTTACATTAAATTAAAATCCCCAAAGTACCAAACATATCTGTAACGTCAGAAAAACCAAAGGACGAGTCAGGTAGCTAAAAGAAAATAGCAGTCAACAAAACTTGTAAGATGGAGCAGTTTTGACTTTTGAGACATTGGGGGAAACTTGCGTGCAAGTAGCATTTTTGGAACTTGGATACCCCAAAAGAAAATCCAGAGAAACCGCCCATCAAATAACAGAGCGTACAATAACTTTACGCTGACCAACACTGCCCCGCTATTATCTGAGTGTGAATCTTTGAATTGAATGCAAGAGCACTCAAGTAGTCAAATACATGCACCTTTGTAAATAAATAACAAGGATTGTAGGCAATTATAAAATATTGTGCTTCCCAAGTTCTTACACACTATATATCAATGATGGAGAATAACTAAATGAAACTCATTAAACTAACAGTTTCAGAAAATCATAGTGAGTTGCCCACAAAAAAAAAGGAAAAGAAAAGAAAATCATAATGAAGGCTCTAGCTAGAAAAGCTTTACCAGAACCACATCCTAATTGCTCGTATATATTTAGCAATTACGCGCAGAGCTTTTCGACTGCCGTCACAATCTGTGCGGGTTGAACTACTGTCCATTCCTCCAATGGCCCAGCATATGGGGTTGGCACATCCTGAGAGGATAAACATACAACAGGTGCATCCAAATAATCATGGAAATTTTCGTTAATGGCAGCTGTCAAACTAGCACCAATTCCTCCGGTCCTCATACACTCTTCCACAATAAGCACACGGTGAGTCTTCTTGACTGAATTCCCAATTGTGTAGAGGTCAAATGGTTTCAAAGACCTGATGTCAATTACTTCAGGGTCATACCCCTTGTTCACCAATGTCTTGGCAGCCTGCATCACATGATATCTCATCCTGGAATAGGTCAATATGGTTACGTGCTCCCCAGGCCTGACCATTTCAGCTTCTTCAAGTGACAACACATACTCTTCATCTGGAATTCTCTCCTTGAGGTTATAAAGCAGAACATGCTCAAATAGTATCACAGGATTCTCGCTACGAATTGCAGCTTTCATCAAACCCTTGGCATTGTAAGGGGTAGAGCAAGCCACCATCTGGATTCCAGGGATTGACTGAAAATATGACTCCAGTCTCTGGGAGTGTTCTGCCCCTAATTGCCGCCCCACTCCACCAGGTCCACGGATAACAATTGGTATTTTGAACTGACCTCCTGAAGTGTAATGGAGCATGCCACAGTTATTGGAGATCTGGTTAAATGCCAGAAGCAGAAATCCCATGTTCATGCCCTCAACAACTGGCCTCAGACCAGTCATGGCAGCCCCAATACCCATCCCTGTGAAGGAGTTCTCAGCAATAGGGGTATCCAGCACCCTGAGGTCACCAAACTTTTGGGCAAGGTCTTTAGTTACCTTGTAAGATCCTCCATAGTGACCTACATCCTCACCCATGACGCATACAGTGGGATCCCTTTCCATTTCTTCTTCCAAACCTTCACGTAAGGCTTCAAAAAGAAGAAGTTCATGCCTGAAAATAAATACGCATTTGGTTAACTGAATAGACAAATATTATAATAATATTCGGCAAAGAATGATGCTTGATTACTATTTGTTTTTACTTTAACTAACAAAAAAGTGGAAAATTATTACAAAGCATGTGAACACGCAGAATGAAGCAGATCAAGACATAGTAGAAGCCTGAAATAATAGGTCCGACAACCAGACTAAATAAATGAAACTCAGATTTTTCTATCGGATGTGTTTCTCTATTTCCAAGATACTACTCTAAACCATTTATAAAAATAACAGAAAGCCTTCACAATGTAAAGACACTAATCCCTGCTTTTTTTGTCCCTTTTTCTAGAAAGAAGTTTTTCCTATCCAAAAGATACCAGAAGAAGGACCATAATATTATGTAGATTATGGATATGTGTAAATATAATTTTTAAGTGCACTAGCATTCTGCAAGTAAAGGGGTATTTAGAGCCCAAAGCAGGCACCAAGAAAAGATGACATTCATTTCAAACGCAATATTCCTAAGTATCAGAGCAAAATCTTCCTCCACAGAAGGCAAATTCATTGATGAAATATTATCAATAAGCATGTAATATGCTGACCTGTATGGAATACTTGTGGCTAGATATATATGCTACAAGGAGCATAGCTATATCCCAACAACTAGAAATTCCAACAAGTGAATGATATTTAAGTGCATCTTATTCAAAACTAATTAAAATATGTTCTACAGATACTGTTATGCTGCTCATTTCAGAGCATGAATCTTCATTATGTCTCCGGGGTATATGCTCTCCTTATCACTTCTGCTATTCCATTGTTATAACCATTCAAATTTTAACTCTGCCACATATGATGATTTATAGCACTAGGAGAAGGCTATTACTAAGGCTTCTGTGATGAGCTTAGTTGTGATAGAGGCTAAAAATTTGAATTCACAAAATATTTCTTGTTAGAATTGTAGGAGACATGTTTATATAAGAAGGTTCGCATAGCCCATTCTGCACAGCTATGTCTTTATTCTTTCTGCAAGCTTGTATGGTTCCTTTCTAATAAAAATATACTAAATATATTTTTTGGTCACTTAACAAACAAACCAAGAGTGCAAATAAAGAAATAAAATTGTTCTACACCAGAACCATTTGATACTTTCAGGTAGTATTCCAAGCAGACAGAAAATATGCTGCTAGAAGCACAAGTTCCTTTGGACAATATATTTCAAGTGTTAAACTACAATCTGAAGTTATTTACATTTCAATTTCAATTATGGGAGGGGGGAAAAGCAAAATGTTGAAGGATGGATAAGGTAGCTAGTCTCGCTCCTCCTTCACTCTTCCACAAGGAAGTCTAAGCTGATTTGCGCTTTTTACATTTTTCCTTACTAATGTTTTATTTTTTCACTGATAATCCAACCATTCTAAGTGCACTGTGGGCACAACAGAAAGCATCTCCTATAACTTTTGGATGAAACATTAGAGTGAAAACTGGAACAGTATCATCAATTTGAGTTAAATTGGACTGCATTAAAAGGTCAATTTATCTTTTATTTTAAAAAAAGGTTCAATTTACTACTGAAAGTACCATGCAAACACAAACATAGCTTACATCTCATCATTTATATTTACAAGATATCATTGATTAAAATGATCAAGCAGCAACGCAAAAGACAAAGTTGAAGCCAATATATACTGAGATAGACAGCAGTGGATGAGACGGAACAGTAAGTGATTAAACTAAGAAACCTACCCAGGTTTAGATGAAGTAGAAGCCGCAGAACTATCTCCTTTAGTCTGCAGAAAACCCAGACAGCAAATCAGGGGCGTGATGCCAGCACTAATACACATTCCCGTTGGTCCAATAACAGATTTGGAACGGAGGAGAAGAAAACCAAACTCGGAAAGTAATGAGAGACAGATAACTTACCGCAACTGCATTGGTAATCAAGCGTTCAGCCTTACGAGCTCCCGCATTGAGATTCAAACTCGCATCAGATCTGACTACAAATATGCCAGCTTTCCTCCCTGATTCAGTAGCACGTTAAACCAAAGTATAAGAATCAACGTTAGAATCAATGACACGGCACATGGTCAAAGAAAGACTAAACCAAGAAGTGAGACAACAGCAACAGCAAGTGGAATCATAATCTTACAATTCGAAACATTTAAGCATCCGAGAAGGCACTATCTCAGTCACTCTGCAAAGGAGAGTCTAGTGGAACCAACAACTAAATCCACGAGGGGCATCCAACAAGAAGGACAGCGAGAAAAAAAAAGGCACGAGAGGAATTAAAAAAGAGACAGGAAACAAACCCGGGAGGGATCTGAGCTGAAATTTCTTGGAGTCAAGTGAGGTAGAGGCAGAGAAAGCGGAAGCAACTCCCACACCCTGAAGAAGGGTCGCCATTGAATGAGAAAGGAGATCGAAGCAGGAAAACCCGAGGTGCCAAGAAAGACGGAAATGAAGAGGAAAAGGAAGGATAGGAATTTATACGAGAGAAAAGAGAACGGGCGGAGAAACTGAGCAGGGAATCGATGTATTGCTGAGCTGTGGATCCCTCTGGTCTTGTAGCGTTGGGCGATTTATTTCACATGTACCAAGTTAAAACTTCCCCTCTGCTCTGCCTCCCACCTGTTGGCACTTGGCAGCCACAAACGAAGCCGCATTGATTCCATCGCCTCACCAAATGGCCAAGCCCTTTACTATGGAGCTTTATTTCTTAAATTTACATTTTTTAAATTATTTTTATTGATCATACATGTTAAGGGTTTCACAGAAAAATAATTCCAATAAACATTTATTCCAATTCACACGCCAACCATATTTGAACTTGTAAAATCATATTTAAGCAACACTTGTCATTTCATTCATTTCTTTTTTTTTTTCATTTCAATGTTTATAATAACTACTGCTAAAATATTAATGGAGATATCATTTGAAGTCATTTTGTAAAATATGTATACATAAACACACAATTTCATTATAGCGCTGAGTAGTTTTTTATTTAAATTAGAATGAACTGGGAGCAGTTAAATGAAGGGAAAAGAAGTAATTTAAGTGGGTAGGGTGTGAGTGGAATTTCGACTCTGGTAATATTGAGAAATAAAAAAAAAAAGCCTCCGTAGCATAATTATAAGATGAGAAAAATTGAATATTTTCAATGGAATAAACAATAAATGATTTTTCACATAAAAATACAAAAAACGAAATCAGGCAAATTTTGTTTTTCTGTTGTTAATTTCATTTTAAAAACATGTTATCATTTTCTGAGAAGATCACCAATATATAATAGTTTGAGGGCTAAACTACACGAAATTGCTGCTGAAGTGGTTGGTTAGGGTTTGGTCATTTAGACCAACAAGGCCGCAACAGCGGAACAACGCTATTTTATTTTTACCCAAAAAAAAAAAAACAGATACAAAGGATGATTACATTTGGAGAATGGTTTAATTTTTATTCCCATTTTTAATCTAAAACTCTTCTAATTCTTAATATAAGAAGTATTCAATTAATTTGAGCAAATTAAAAAAAATTAAATACTTAATCTTAATGAATATGAAATAATTTTCATAAAATATTATAATATTAAATTATATATCAGTTTATAAGTTAGATAAACTAATTAAAAATAAATTAATTTCTTATATTCATAATTAAAACCGACTTTTTAAGTAGGTCAAGGCATATTTTGAATAGGAAGAGTAACAAGGACGCAATACTACAACAATGGCTGCGCGTTGAAGTGATCATGTTATGAGATTTGAACCCAACAAAAAAGGACGGTGAGGAGACCCTTCGAATTAGGACTTGAAGACCTCGAGTTTAGATGAAAAAAGTGATGAGTTTGCAATTTGGTTTGGCAGGGGAAGAATTGGAGTGACGTGCCCAATTAGTAATTAGTAACCTGATAAGTGTGTCCACTTCCCTGTATAATATACAACTTAAATAATATTTAAAAAAACTACGCTGCTTATATAAGTAGCAAGAATTTGAATCTTGAAATTTTTTTTTTTAACATTTCCTTAGTTTTTTATAGATACTCCTTTTGACCTAAATTTAAAAATTAGTTGAAAAATTTATTTTGATTCTAAATATAAAACCTCTATTTTTCTTATTTCTCATACTTATTATTATTTTTCCAAACAATCTTTATTATTTGTATACGTTAACATGTGCAATTAATCAAGCCAGCTTCCTATATAATTTATAAATAATTAAAAAGAGATATTTTACATGATCAATATAGTTTTTTTTTATAGATAGTTATCTTAATTAATTTTTTAATTTATATAAATTAATTTTCTAACTTTACCTTTATCTGAAAAAGAGTATATAGATTGTATGATAGAAATGACAAAGCTTACATTTTTGTTATTTACAAAATGATTTTCAATAGAACAATATTTAGGTGAAATTTTTTACATTCATTACGTTAACTTTCTTTAATCAAATGTTATTATGTATTTTATTTTTAAAATATAAATTTATATAAAAAATAGAACAAATAATTATATCTGATTAAAAAACTTAATATAATAAATATAAAAAATTTGATTTAAATAATCCGTTATCAAGTTAAATTTTTTTTTTGTAATAGATTCTTAAGTAAGTTTTAAAGTCTATCTAAAATGACTTATAAATAATTTTTTAATCATAATTTACGTAATATAAAATAAGTATATAAAAAATTTGTTTCAATTTAATTTACATAAAATTGGCTTACAAATAATTTTAAGGGAAAACTAATTTAGAGGCCCTTATAATTTGTTTCAGTTTTGAATCAAGTTCCTAAATTTATTTTTCTTTTTATTGGGTATTTTAACTTTCTATTGTTAGAGTTGTTAGTGCCTGCCATTTAAATTTGTTAAACAAGTATTGATATCGTTTAGAAGCTCCGTTGGAAGGCACGACGCACTCAACAATAAAAAGCCTTGTCTAAAAGCATCCTCTTCTTTCTGTGTTCGCATCTTCGTCCACTATGCCAAGCTATCCTCTCTCTTTTTGCTCATTCCTCCTCTTCTCCCCCATTCTCTCAACCTATAAATGGCTCACAATTTCTTCTCATCTCACCATAACACCTCCCTACGGTCACGTCTACTTCTTTGTCCAACTTGAGGCCATTTGAAATTTTTTGTACTTTATGAGAATTATTTTGCAGTTTTGATGGATGCAACCTCATGAAATGTATTGGAGGTCCTTTAACCAAACCAAATATTATTGTCATAGTAAAGCACAAAATAGGACCCAAAATCTTGGTCATGCCATGTAGATGCTTCATAGATCAATGTTTAAGCACAAAAGTAAAGATGCATTCGTTCTAAGCAATTTTCTAATGCTTCTAGAAATTAAGGTAATGATGTTCAAATGGCCAAAAAGTTGTCTGCAACACAGAAAAACAACAATTCTATTTTTATTCAAGCCCCTGTTTTAGTAATAGTAAAACAGAGAGATCAGGGAAGTAACCAACAACTTCTTCAGAACTAAACTAGACTAAATCCTCAACAAGATTTGAGTCATTGCCCAATCAACCACGGTAACCTTGTCCACTTCCTTGGCTATCACGTCAAATGAGACTGCCAATCCCTTCTTATCTATGAATTCATCTTCAGGCATTGTTTCACAATTGTGCTGGACAAAGCTTTGAAGGAACTGCAGCTTTACTACCTATTTCTCCATCTGGTATACTTTCTCATTGATCTATCATTCAAGAATGGTAGGGGAGATGTTGATGAATGGGCAAAAAGGGAGAGGAGAGCTTGGTCTTGAGGTTGTGGTTGAAGGAGACGATGCTAACCAGAAGAGAAGACGATGTTTTTAGAAGTGGCAATCAAGTGGGGCAATGCTTTTTAATGGAAATTCTTGACAACGTTAATACTTATTTAACAAATTTAAACTGTAGGGACTAACAACTCCAACGGTGAAAAATTAAAGGAGCTAAGAAAAAGAAAAAAAATTCAAGGACCTGATTGAAAATTGAGGTAAATTATAAGGACCTCAAGATTAATTTTCCTAATTTTAATTGTGATTCTAAACGAGGCGAGCGGTGAAAGTTAATGTTACTTTTTTTTTTTTTTGGTGAGGAAGTTAATGTTACCTTTTTGATGAACAAAGTTAATGTTACTGACGGCGCAGTTGAGCCAGACAGCATGTGATGCAAGCTACCAGTCAGCTACCAAAAGACTGATGAAAAAATAGCTCGGGTTAGGAAAAATCAGAAAACGAACCGTTTCGGGGTTCCTCGCTGTGAAACTGTAAACCGAAGAGGGGAGTGAGGATAAGGATAGAAGACGGAAATACACTTGCAACAGCACCGGCACGGCAATCTTCTTCCTCTGCCCCTGCTTTACCTGCCTCCATCTCTCTTCCAGAGCACTGCAAGGCTCGAACGCCGGCGTTCCGTTCACCGCTCTCTCCACTACAGTGATCAGTACGCCCTCACTGACCTTGACCACACCCCTCACCCGCTGCCGCTGCTCAATCATCTCTTCGCCGATGAAGCCCACCAAATACTGATGCCACTGGCCTCATGTAATTACTCCCTCTCTCGCTATTGGTTATGTCAGGCCCGTGTAAAGTTTCGCCTCCAGTTTTGGAATGCGCATGACTTTTTCTTTTGGCTAGTTGTTACTATGCTGCCCTGAATTGACGAATTCAATTAACTATTGTAAGGTTTTAACTTTCGATTGCTTACCATTGAATTAATTCATGCAATTTGCTTAACAATAGCTCCGAGTGTGGGATATGAACAAAATCCCGACTCTATATTACTGCTATGAAGTTGTAGATTCTTCTAGACATTTGAAGTGAGTGCATTGCCGAGGTGGGCATTTAAGATGCTTTACTCAACTTGGAAGACACTCTCTAATTCGGCTTCGGGGTTTTTACACAATAAATAGTACTTATCTTGGTGCGGTGCATTTCACTGATGACTTATATCGTATGTATGTATGTATCTGTTAAGCTCTTGGTTTTTTTTTTTTTTTTGGGTAATCGAATGTTGATGACAACATAGACTCGTTATCTATATTACAATGAATTTATGCTCTGAGGACTGTCCTTGACTCTTTGTTACATTCTGGGTTCCATGAAAAATCTGATATATTTTGTAAGTTAATTGGTAGAAAAGTACTTTTGAAAAATACGTTAAATATATGTTAGTTCATAACTATTCAATCTAGAGCTACCTTCCTTTTTTGCTTTTTCAGTTGTCCTAGTTGTGAGATGCAGAGTTATCCACTATCGGTTGAGCCTCTCTAGCCTGAACTTACCTACTGTATCACCAAGTATATCATATAATCCAACATGTTAAACCCCAAACGTGTATGGCTTGAGCCTATTCTGCTCATGATTTCACTAATCAGAATATGATAAGTTGAAGAGGTTGTAGTATTTATTGCAATTCACAAATAATTAAAACCAGGGTCATACTTTGTTGATGGCAATGCTTGTGTCTTGTTTCAGGTTCCAAACATGCCATGGGAGGAGATAGTATCTTTTATTTTTAGTCTAAAGTCTGATCTAGTGGTCTATGGCCTATATGCCAGTCCATCAATGGTATGCTTTTTATCTTTACTCTTACATTTACAATTTGAATTCACATGACTATTCTATGGTGGATTTGGAAATTTCCGGCTACTTCCTTCGTTTCTCTGTAATCTAAATACGTTTTATTTTAATTTTATTGCTGCCTGCTACTTAGTAAGTTTTGTCTGTGGTCAATTTTCCTAAGCCGAGACTATGTTGCGTGTCCTCTGATATCCAAATTCCTCTCCCACTGATGAATAAGAAGAGGGGAAAAATCTCTTGGTTTTTCTCGAGACAAGATAACATTTTAACTTTCAGCTATTTGATTGAAGAGAAATGCACCTGTTTTTGTTCATTCAATTAAATTTTTCGCTCTACTTATATTAACATGATAACAAGAGATCAATCCATGAAAGAATAAGCAATAAATATATTCGTTAATCAACAATGAAACAAAAACTCAAATTCTGTACGTGAGCGGGAAAAGTTTTTGAAATATTGTAAGCAAAATGGAAAAAGAAATAGTATAAAAATTAGTATCTAAATAGGATTTGATATACATAAAAAAGGGAAAACATTTTTTGAATAATATTTGATGAGATAAAAATTAAACTCAAAAAGCCCATAAAAGGAGCAAAAGAAGAACCTAGATAAGAATTGTATTTCAGATTTTCTAAAATTGCCAGCCTTGGAATAAAGATGAGGAGCAGAGACCCAAAGGCTGTTGATGATGTTGTTCAGGGAAGAAGAGAGTAAAAGGGTCAAGACTTGTTTTAGAAAATGTAGGAGCACACATTTATCCAAATAAAATCCCAATTTTGTTTGTCTTTAAAAAGTTATGCGAGCCTCTGAGCCACAATTAACTGGACAGGCAAAAAATATCAACTACTCTATCCTTTCCAAGTAATGGAAGTGAAGCTTTTTCTCACCTCTTCACCCCCCATCTGCCCTATCTCAACTGCGAGATCAAGTCGTTCGCTGGTTTCATCTCTTAAAAATGATTCTGAGAGTGCTCCAGATCGCAAGGTATTCTTCCTCTTCTGTTTATATATACATGCTTGAGATGAGTGGTTTCATTTAATCTTTTAGCGTTGTCAAACATCAAATTCGCGGAGCATGTGCTCATCCCTTGCTTAGCCTGTTTATTTGTCAAGATGAAAACATTTGAAAACCAGTGGTCACTAATTATTGGCCTTACCGGCAAATAGAAAGCTTCTTTGACTCTAAATTTACGTCATTTTTGGTTTTTATTTCATTGTGATTGTTTTTATCACTGATTGCCTCTCCGTGAGTCCTGATTTTTGGTACTGATGCAATCCAGTTATATGATAGTTGCTACTTCTTCAATAACATGTTCCACTGGGGGGAAATTGTACTTTATTTCTGCTATGCTTTACGGAAAAACTTTCTTTATACTTGAGTTTGGTGGAACCAGAAAATGTGCTGTGTCACCTTTTCCATCTTATAAGGGGCAAAAAATTGGGTCTTGTATGTTTATGAGAAAAATGGGTGCCCCTGTTTTCATAAAGTTGGTTACGCCCTTGCTTGAGAGTTTATGTTTCCTTCTGTTAAGACTTAGTAACAATCTCTGTTTGGTGTTTTATGCTAATGTCATTTTCTTTTGGTTGTGCTTGAAGCAGATAATATGGCAGCGGAAGCTAGCAGGTCGTTTTAGGAGCAGGGATGGCAATGGAGATTGCCTTTCTTTGCCGGAAAAGTTGAGTAGGAAGAGGATGTCTCGGCAACTTGAAGGGCTTTCACATGAAATGGTTGTTAATGGTTTTCTGCCTACAATGCCTACCCTCTGTGCGTTAATGCTTTATTATGCAGATAATGGCCTCTTTCCTCAAGCACAGACTATATGGGACCAGCTCATAAATAGTTCTTTTGTGCCTAGCCTTCAATTAATTTCAAAATTATTTGATGCCTATGGGAAACATGGGCATTTTGATGAAGTGATGAAAATACTGCGATACATGAATTCAAGGAATTTTGATATTCTACCAGATATTTACTCATTGGCTGTCACTTGCTTGGGAAGAGGAGGGCAACTGAAACTGATGGAGGACATATTGAAGGAGATGGTTTCAAGGGGCTTCCGTGTTGATTCTTTGACCGGTAATACATTTCTTAAGTATTATAGTATTTTTGGCTCTTTGGAAGAGATGGAAAATGCATATGGCCGCCTCAAGAGATCCAGAATTTTAATAGAGAAGGAAGCAATTAGGTCAATGGCCTTGGCATACATGAAGGAGTACAAGTTCTATGAATTGGGTGAGTTCGTGAGGGATGTTGGTCTTGGCAGGAAAAATGAGGGGAACCTTTTATGGAACCTTCTGTTACTTTCTTATGCTGCTAATTTTAAAATGAAAAGCTTGCAGAGAGAATTTTTGAGAATGGTTGAAGCTGGATTCTGCCCTGATGTGACAACTTTTAATATTCGTGCTCTGGCCTTTTCAAGAATGCAATTATTCTGGGACCTCCACCTTAGTATTGAACATATGATGCATGAAAACGTGGTTCCTGATCTAGTGACTTATGGCTGTGTTGTTGATGCATACTTGGATAGAAGGATTGGAAAAAACTTGGACTTTGCTCTGAATAAGATGAACCCAGGTGATTACCCACAAGTATCAACAGATCCATTTGTGTTTGAGGCCTTGGGTAAAGGAGACTTTCACTTGAGCTCTGAAGCATTTTTGGAATTCAAGACACAAACGCAGTGGACTTACAGGGATCTGATATTAAGATATCTTAGGAAACACTATCGAAGAAATCAGATATTTTGGAACTACTGACTAATCACCAAAATGATTGTACTTATTAGAATTAAATATGCTAAAAGTTGTCCTTGTTGATTATAGAAGTACAAAGATCTTTCTTTCTTTTTTTTCGGTATTCGTTTTTCCCCCCAAATCAAACACTGTAAGTCATCTGTAAATTAAACTAAATAATATCATCAGCATTCAAAAGGTTAATAAGAGAAAGAGTCAGAATCAATTCATGCCTTCTCCAAAATATCGAACGCTACAGATTTGTAGATCATCTATGATGTTTGATATTAAAATAAGTCAATAATAAAACTTATATACATGCAAATTATAAAAAAAATGTATATACATGTATGCATGTAAGATTGAACTTCTTAATCAAAACCAATAACGTAATATATGTATAATGTAATTGAGAAAAGATATAATTATGTGAAAGATCACATACCCTTATTAGAAGATGCAAATAATCATTAAACATTTTTTCGGTCTACACATAAGAAACATGTTATTTCTAAGAAATTATACTATTTATAATTTATAAATAAAATAATTTAATTTTCAAGTTTCATATAATGGACAAATAATTAGTTACAGATGAAAGTTTTTTACTTACCAATTCTGACCTTTAATATTAGCTTCTTTATTATTTTTATTTAAAAAAAAAAGAGAAAAGAAGAAGATAAGAAGAAGGAGAAGCAAATAATCAGGAAACTAGCGGCTTTCCTACCCGCAAAAGTCAAAACCGGGAGAGCGTGGAGGGGACGAGCGGCAAAGAAATGGAAATACTTTATCTCTTGTGCTCCATCTTCTGTGCTCTCCTTACTTCTCTTCTTCTCTCCATCCTCCTTCCCTTTCTGACGTTACTGCGGCGGCTCCGGCACTGGCTCCGGCACTCTTCCCCTGCCATTGCTCTATGTCCGCCCGTTTCTCTATACCAAGGTACCGTCTGGCACCAACGCCGGCTTCCCGTCCACCACTCCTTCCGCTATAATGTTCGCTACGCCCTCATTGACCTTGATCGTTCCCCTCACTCGCCGCCCGACCATCTCTCCGCCGACGAAGCCCGCCAAATTACAGATACCACTGGCTCCGTGTAATTACCCTCTGACTCTATTGCTTATATCAGACGCATGCGAAGTTTCACTTTACACCGAATTTGTTTTCAACTTCTTTTGAAATGCTCATACTTTGGTTTTTCTAGCAGTTGTTACCAAGCCCACTTTGGATCAACATTTAATTAACAATGCTGAGGTTTTAATTTGCAATTACTTCTTGCCGAATCAATTCATGCAGTTTGCTCTTGACAATACCTCCGAGCGTGGGATATGAACAAAATCCCCTGAGTTTGTATTATTGCTATGATGTTGAAGGTTCTTCTAGGCGTCTGAAGAAGTGCATTGCTGAGGTGTGCGCTTAAGATGCTCTCTTTCTCATTTTGGAAGACTTTTCTGTGCTATGCTTTGGGATTTTACTCAAAATTATTTGTAGTTAGCTTGGTAGAGAATGTCCATGACAAGTTGACAACATATACTCGTTATATATGACATCATGATACATCGAATACATGTTGCGTCGACTGTCCTTACATCTCAACAGTATTGCGGGTTCCTTGAAAAATGTGATGTAAATTATCAATTAATTGTTAAGAAAGTAGTTTTGTAAAATATGTTAAATATATATAAGTTATTTAATCTAGAGCTCCATTTTTTTTTTTGTATTTTAGCTCTGCTAGTATGAGATGCAATTTGTAGAGTTGACCGCATTGGATCGTTGAAAACTTTAATCCGAGGTTACTTTTACTGTACCTCAAAAGACAGATCTATCATCTCATATGATAAACCATTAATGCATAGGGCTTTAACGTGCTCTATTCATGATTTCACTATTCATAATATGTACCGAAGAGGCTGTGTCAATTGCAGCTCATAAATTATCCCTTAGGTCATACTTTGTTGACAGTAATGCTTGTTTCTTGTTTCAGGTCACAAACACGCCATGGGGGGAGAGAGTGTCTTTTATTTTTAATCCAGAGTCTGATCTAGTGGCCAAAGCCTTACATGTCAGTCCATTTATGGTATGCTTTCTAACTATGCTCTTGCATTTGCAATTTCAAATTACATGATATTTCTCTGGTGGATTTGGAAATTGTTGGCTGCCGTCTTGCCCTCCCGTTATCTCAATAATTTTTCCTCTTTTTTGTTTTTAACATATAATGAAATACGTAGCAGATTCAACGAATTTCAAGCTAAAGAAAACTAGCCATTTTCTTTGGGAAGACCATATAATGAAATACGTAGCAAATTCAACGAATTTCAAGCTAAAGAAAACTAGCCGTTATACATGAGTGTTTGGCCAGTTAATGATCTTAATGTTGGCTTCCTCTTTGAACGGGTTCTCCTGTTCATGATCCCAGATGGGTGAATACTACTTATTGCTTCAGACTGAGTACTCTGCTTGATGTTCCCTTGGGTTGGGTAGCGACGAATTTTGATAATTCATGGGATCTCCAGTTTGAAATTTCATTTAAAACTGTTGGTGTAAGATGCTGATTGGAAAAGAATGATCTGTGCGTATGTGTGTGCTTCTTTGTGTGGGGAGGGGGCAGGGGAGGATAGCCTTTCCCTAAATTGATTCAGCTAGGGAATATTAGCCTTGGTCTACATTCTTCGAAATCTTAGGTTAAGGTTAAGGGAGTGACAGGAGTTATTTTGTTTAGTGAATTAGCTAATATTATCATTAAGGTTTTTCTTTTTTAGATTTTTAGCATAAGCATTACCAGTCTGAGGTTGCTGAATTCACAACCTCTAATTTATAGAGCTTCCATGCCCCCATCACACAACATTGGCTGTCATTAAAGTTTTGTGACAAACAAAATATTAATGATCTTTTCATCCAAGGATACCAGATTTGTCTCCAGAAAATGTAGAGCATAAAGATATGATTGATGACGTGTCTGAATATCTGACGTTAGGGAAAGAGAGAAATGAAGCTTCGGGAAGGAAGATTGCAGATTTATTAAATGAACCTGGGCATACATGTAGATGCTGTATCTCATGGTTTGCCTGTTATATTAGTCAATATGGTTAAACTAATATGATAGTCTCAATTTAGCTGCTCAGAAATATTCTCTATTTTCACCAGAAAAAGAAAAAAAAAATGTTCTCTCTCATTATTTGTAAGCATCTGCCCATTTTTGTTGTAGGATATGCTTGGGAGTTGGAATATTAGAGCAAGTGATCCTGGAGACAATTTAACTGTCGCAATCTCAGTTCATCACCCTGAGCTTGGCTGCTACTTTACGGCCTCTCTAAAAGCCAAAAAATTGGGCCCCGGTGAAGAGCCTGATCATTCAGTTTTCTTCTGGTTGATGCCTCATAAGGTTGCAGTTTGGATCTATTGGCATGTAAGTCATATAACTCGTATCTTTCTGTTATGTAGCTTCCATGGATTTATTGCAAATCCGGTCTTCATGGTTCTAGATCGTAAAAGATTAAAACAATTTGACACCCGTGCTGTCAGAGAACGTCTGGATGGGGTAGGTTTGGGAGTTAGGCTGGGAGAGGAATCAATGGATGAAATCTAAGGTAAGAAGAGAGAGGGAAGGAAATTGAGGTTAGACAATAGTACCACCTCCCATCATTGAAATTTAACAGTAAGAGATTAGGGTTATTTCTTTTTTATTAATTATTGAATTTCTTCTTCCACCCGGACAAAATGATTGCCTCCTGCATTTTGCTTTCCGCAGGCTTTGAAGCTGTGGTGGAAAAATGTGCGGTTTGTCCAGCATCCTCGGTATACCGTTCCCACATACAGGGAAGAAGCTTTAATACGTGACCAAAAACTTCAGTGCTGCGGCACAATGGGATTTAATGATGCAAATAAAAACATACCCCGGAGAGGAACAGAGCAGGGTAACTCAGCTGATATAAGTTATAGTAATCGGTGGTTCAAATGGAGGGATGCAAAGTGGCCGTGGTCGTAAACATGGATAATGAACTTTTGCTTTCCTATTGTTCCTCGTGCTGCTAGGCTGCTAATGAAATTTGGTTGCGATGACAAACACATTTATGTTGTAACAATGTTGATGATGAAGATAATAATTTGTCGTATTGATTGTGTACATCCTGCTTTAATTTTTAGCCTTGCTATTCGCAACACCAGCCCACTTTACCACTTCTATCCGGCTTTGAAAAGAATCAGTAAATATCAACTAGGTCCCACTTTGGTTGCCAGTTGAAGTAGCGTGAATTCATCTTCCTCTCTCGAGCAATTCAAGTCGGCAAACAAAAATTTGGAAGTAATTGGTGATTGATACATTGATACAAGCTCAATGTTGATAATCCGTCTCGGTCTTGTAATTTGATGGGAGGGCGAGTAGGTACCAGAATATCACGCACGTCCTTTCGGAAAAAAGAAATATAAACATAACAGTTGAAGCTTGATATGAAGAAAACGTCTTCAGGAGAGCTTTCCCAGTTGGAGGCCGACGCGAACTCAAATTTAAACGAGTGATTAGTTGATGGATGTGATGGATGTTGTGCGTGCGGTGTCGTCAGCGAGGGGAGGGAAAGAAAACAAAATCGGGTATATGAAATGAAATGACGAAGATGATGGAAGGAAGGACAGAGAAGCGTGTGCGCAAAATTAAAGATGAGAAGAGAAGAGAAGTGGGATTTGGAATTTGCATTTGCAGACAGACAGGCATGTCCGATTCATATTAAGTGAGATTTATCATTTTAAGCGGCGCCGCATTCATTCACGGCTTCCATCCTCACGCTCCTCATTTTCGGTGTCCTTTTTCGGCGGCCGCCCCTCCCTCTCCCCCCTGGCTTTTACTTTTCTGCCCAAATCTCTTCCCATTTTTAGTTAGTCATATTTATCGGTTAACTTATTAAATTTTCATGTGAATGTATTATTCTGTCGTCCATTCGCTTTTGTTAGTTTTTGACAAGTGTATATATTAAATAAAATTATTAATTACTAAATGTTAAAACGGATTTAATGATTTTTAATTTTTTTGAGTTTTAAAAAATTGCTAAAAAATGATTTATAATAGTTGCTTATGTATGGTGGTATGAATGGTCGTGTGTCAAGTTCTGACTTATGGTCGCCGCCCCAACCCTCGCAACGCAAAATTAAACCACCGAAAGTTTATTTAAAGTCAATTCTCAAAAAATATTGACAAATTTTTTAATGCCTAAGCATCAAGAATATACTATCTAATTTTGCACAGACTAATGTACCATAAAGCACATCTCGTCATCTATACCATAAACATAACAACCTACGATGCAAAAAGGGGGGGAAAAACATTAAAAAAATCAGTTTTCCTTAATTTAATATACTTCTTAATTTCTTAATTTTAATTTACGTCTCTTCATAAGAAAAAAGATTCATGTTCCCTTCCTATCCTTTTAAATCAATGGACGGTCCTTTCGTCTGGATATGGATCCAATCTATTAATTGAAAATCATTTTGTAGGAGATATTAAATTAACAATTAATATTGTAAAAGTTTAAAATAGTCATTTCATCCTCCACACGGCAAAAAAAAAAGTTTTTTTTGGGAAAACAATGGATTTAGAGGGTAGAATGGTGATTAACTATGGAGCATGTGAAAAATTAGTTTTGAATCAATGATGATGATGCCTATCTAAATCCAACTGCCATGTCTCTACCAGTCTACTCTAATCGTGCGGTGAGGAACACGAGCTTTGTATTCCCCGGGAAAAAGATAGGAAATTATCTAAATGTGGGAGCCAAACAAGTGAGATTCTGAAGCCTTCTCGAGATTGCTGGCAAAAAAAAAAAAAAGGAAGCCTTCTCGCTATTTCTGTGTAATTTCTAAATAAACTTAGAATATTTGGTCACAGGATTCTCATGGAATAAATAAGATCGGTGAAGCAAAGCGACAACTAATGTACGCGTGTAATAATTGCAGAGCCCCAAAATAAAAGAAAAAGATTTTGTGCTCTGCATGGGTGGCTGGCTCGCATCCACGTGATTTTGGTCGCCTCAAAACTCAAAAAACTATTTCTAGTTTGGCTTTTACTGCTCCTTGTGGGCCCCACCGTAACAAAATTTCCCGCCTGTTGTTACCAGACCAGTACGCTAGCAATGCGCCTTATGGGCTTTTATGGTATTTTCTTAAGTTTAAATATAAAACTCATTTTATAATATAATTTGTATTATAAAATAAGTTTTATGTTTAAAATTAAAAAAAAATTATAAAACCAACAGGTATGGTAACAACTTGGTCTAACTTTCCGGGTATGTTTCAATGTTTGTTGAGGAATTTTAACAGAAAAATGCTTTCATGTGGACAACTTTGATCTTATTGAATTTATTTTTTAAAAATTTTATAGAATATTTAATAAAATATAATTGTAAACTATCTTTAACAAATGACCTTATAATTCTGTAATTATCATACATAATTAACAACAAATTATAAGGTTAAATTTAAACTCTTTACACTATCCTACTCCATCCCCGTGCATCTTGATAATAATAAATACTCCTCCGGTCCTTAATATAAGACTCATTTAACTAATTTGATTAGATTAAGGAAGTTAGGTAAGTTAATTAATTATAAGAAAAGTGACATATTTTTCCTAAAATACCATAACCATCTTTTTTAATACCCCCTCTCCCTCTTCTATTTGATTATGGTTGAGGGAGTATCTATAGGGGTAATTTAGAAAAAATTGATAAATATGAGAAATGGGTCTTATATTTAGGACCAAAACCAACTTAAGAATTGGGTCCTATATTAAGGACCGGAAGAGTAATAATTATTGTTACTCAATAATAATAATAAATCTTTCGGGGGGATCTGGGGATACTCTGGGGCCTTTGATTGTTGATCCGAGAAAACTGAAGGGTACGATATCAGAATTTGGTAGGATCGTGGTGTATAGTTAGATAAGGAGCATGAAAACGTGGGAACATGAAGATACGATAATGATTGACCAAAATCACAAAGAGGTGTGTATACAAAAGTCAAACACAGACATGACCGACTAATCCTGTGATTATGCACGCCCTTCTTGTTTTTAACTCATTAATCAATCATTTAATCACCACTAATACTAATAAGTCAATAAGCAATTCATCACAAATCAAATTTCCCATTGTTGTTTTATATTTAGCGCATCTTTAGACGAGGTACTGTCAATATTATGAGTATCTTGCTTTTTGGATTTTTATACTTATCTAAGAAATTGTGTAGGGCTGCGCACCCAAGTCTAATTCTCACCATCTATATTCATACCCAATATTTTTGGACCAAAAAAAAAAAAACATTCATACCCAATATAAAATTTTGATAAATCACACTATTTATAAGTTATAAATTTCAAAGTTGTTTGTCATACGATGGCTCCATATGAGTCATAAATTGTCTTATTTTAATAGTCTCCTAATCTTTAATGTATGACATAATTTAAGAATTGATATTTGTTTTATATATAAGATTTATTTTATATATTTATTAATTTTTTTAAGTTAATCGTATTAATATTTCTCCGACAATAATCAAATAGGAGAGGAAGGGAGGAAATTAAGAAAGATTATTAGGGTGTTTTAGAAAGAATATATTATATTAACCAATATAACTAACATCGTTAATCTACTCAAATTAGTTAATTATATTTTATATTAAGGAACAAAGGAGTATTATTTTAGTTATGAAACAGCAATTGAATTTTAGGACCGATGATTCTATGCATGCTAAAGCTAACCATATAAAATTTCCATAAACTTGAATATTACACGCGCGATCGGGGAATAATATTAAACTATAAATACATCCATCCCGCCATGAATTATTATATCTCTTCCCGAATCATCAATGCCTAGAATCACATGGCTTAATTAGAAGGAAAGAATGACGATAAGTGATTTTCTTTTTTCTTTTTTTTTTTGCATGCATTATTAGCTATTATTAATACTGTTAACTTACTTTAATAAGTTAAATTCACGTGTGTTTTGATATAAGTTGACAAAAGTGTAGCGAATAACGAGTATATCAAATTAAATATTTTACTCTTATTTTAGTAAATGATGGATCTAGCATTATTAAATGCATTGTTAATAAAGCTAATTATCTGCCCTTCCAAAAGTCAGATGACTCAATTCTTTTTTTTTTTTGACCAGCAAGATGACTCAATTCGGATATCTTAATTATTTAAATAAAAAAATAACAAACCAATAATTTATTAACTTGCTTTCTAATTTTGCAATTATCCCAATGTTCAATTAAACATAACAAATTCAGCATATTTGGCTGTGACTAGTAAACCCCTCATACTCTGAACTTTGTAAAGAGACTTTAATGTTGGTCATGAAATCCTCTTCAAATACACTGTTAGGAATCAAATCCTGACTAGATATTTAAATAACTTGGCTAAAGGGGTGTTTGGGTTCCAACCCAAACCATGGTTTGGGAAAAAATCACCCAAACACCCTTAAAAAAACCAAAACCATGGTTTTGAGTCAAAACCAAGGTTTTGGTTGCTTTTGGAAAAAAAAGGAAGAGTGTGAGAGCCTATAGGATATGTATCTTGTTGTTTTTTTTATAAATATATTTAATCTTATATCTTATAAATATATATACATATTAATTATTTATTAATTATATTATCTTATGTATTATTAATTATGTTAATAAAAAATATATTATTAACAATTTTATTCCTTCAAATTAAAATATATCATAAAATATATTTTTTCTGTAATTATCATATTAATTTATGCCTTTTTTTAGTAATTTGTACATTTAAAAAGTGCTTCTGGTAACAACTATCCAAACACTCTCACTTCTCAGAATCACTTTTTCACAAACTCTATTTTTCAAAAAATCTATTCTCCCCAGAATCTATTCTCCAGAAGCTATTCTTCAAATCATGGTTTGGTTATATTCAAACACCCCTTAAGTGTCAGTTGTACTAGACCTCAGGCCTGTTGGCTTTTATTTTTCTCCCAACTGAATGAATTGTATAGTAAATTTTACCAGGAGCTAGATCCCCGACTACAGTTGCTTCTGACCAAAAACAAAAAAGGACAAAAAGAAAAAAGAGCCTCGAGGGGCAGGAGGACTGGGAGAATTAATTAATTACTTACTCTTCTGATCTAAGATCTAATTTTTTAGTATAATATTCAAAATTATTCACATTGATGATTTGCACCCGCACACCACCTTACATATTAATTAATTAATTAATTAAGCACGATTATTTCATTTACCCTGTAAAAGGAAGCGTGAATAGTAAGAGTAGGGCCAAAACCTAAATCAGATTCCCTGTGATTCAGTATATATGTGTGTGTAATCTGTATCTATAGTGAATTAGAGTACTGTTTAATCGATGGTTCTATTCATTTGGGAAGTTACTTTTGGATTTTTAATACCAATTTTTTAAGGGATCTAACTCGTAAATGATATTTAGTTAGTGAATTAAGATTGGTAACAAAGTCAGAATCCACACGACGAATCTAAAATTGAACCCACATGAATTGATCCAATGAGCCCTTTTTTTTTAGCCCTTATAAGAAAGTAAATATTACTAACTGTAAAAAATAAACTCATAAAAAATTGGCAGGAAAGGCAATGCATTTCCAATTACAAAATACTAGAATAAGGTCATGTTTTTAGGTTCACAAAATACTTACAGAAGTCACATATTATCCGCCAACAAAAATTTTACACTAGTAGCAAATTTGAACTCATCATTTTATAAGTCATAAACTAACTCCTTAATAATTAATAATGCAAAAGATTTAAAAAATTACAAAGAAAATCATATTATTTATGATTCATAAATAATATGTGACTTATTACAAATTTTAGTAGATATTGAAATCGATGAATATGAAAATAAGTTCATTCATTAGCTCCCATACCAAACGAAAGATAACCGAATAATGGCACACAACAGTTAAAAAAAAATGGAAGAGGAAAAAAATAAGGAGGAAAAAATTAAAAAAAAATACTTCTAAAAATTTCAAAATTTTAAATCAGACTATAAAAATATGTTATAATTTCTTTTCAAATGTTGTAGATTGTTATTAAAATGTATTGAATAAGACTGATTTAAAATTTTAAAATTTAAATTTTTTTAAAAAAATTCTCCCAATGAAGAACGTGAGGGATATGGAAATTTTTTGGGCCGAGTGACAGATGTGGAAAGTTGGGAACTCAAAAATGGACAGAGAAGGTCGCTAATGTGGGAAAGGCGTGGCGGTTTCGTATAGAGGGTACACGCAGAGCGCGGCATGTGACTTAATTTTCTTAATTTGAATTAAAAAACATGTCCCACGTGTTTTTCCCCCCCAACCACACTTCCCCGTTCATTTTCACGTCCATTTTTGTCTTTCTTTCGCTGTTCCTACCTTTATTTCTCCGTCGCTCATTCTCTCTTCCTCTCTCGCCTTTGTATATATATTCCTTCTCCCATCCAGTCTCTACCAACCTCAGATCATCATCATCATCCTTCTTCTTCTTCGCTTTTCTCTCTGTTTGCTCTGCGCAACCTTATCGGACTACACAATATGAGGCGGAATTGCAACTTGGAGCTTCGTCTTTTTCCTTCGTTTGAGACCAGTCACCTCCGTGACACGTAACCGGCCTTTTCGCTTCTCTCTTTCATTGTTCGGTTTTCCTTTTACGGCTTCGTTGGGATTCAACTTTTTATTGTAATTGCAGTTCGACGGAACCAGATAGTGAAAGCCCGCAGCAAAATCTGCAGAAGCTCACCATTTTCTATGACGGGAAGATGTGTGTTTGCGATGTCACTGAATTTCAGGTATATACTTTCGTGCTTGTTCACTTATATATCTCTTTCGATTTGGACTCTGTTTTTCTGGGTTGTATATTTCCAAATCGACAAATCGTGTAACATTAGGAAACTCATCTGGCTAATCTTTAAAGTCAAATGTCTGTCTGAGAAAACAGAAAGGATTTTGATCTTGTGGTTAGTTTACTTCGATTCCTATTTATTCATTCTCAGCCTGTCCAAATATATTGAGTGGCATTATCAATCAAGTTATCATTATTAGAATGGTTTCTTGGATGGTAGTTATTGATCTATATACCACTGTTTCGTTACTGGATTCGGGGGGAAGTCGGCAGAGAGAGGGAGAGAGATGATAGAGTTATAGGAAACTTGACTGAAAATTGTGGTGTTCGTGTATGAGACTTATGAACCGAAGTTACAGATAGGCCAGTTTTAGAAAATAAAATAATTTTCGCCGACAACGTTATTGGGTCAATTGATCCATTCAATAAAACACGAAAGAAACGAAAGCTTCACGTATTTCCCTGTTTGGTGTGAATTAGGCAACTTACTTGGACGCTTCAAGTTGGAATCTCTAGACTCAATATTTGACCTTAGAATTGCATTTGACTGGGTCAATAATCTATTAATTCGTATCATATGCCCTTTCTCAAGGGCCTTTACCTTTCATGTCAGCATTCATATTATTATTATATGCTATTATTCTACACCGAATTAATGGATTCAAATGCACCACGAAACAAATAGCTAGATTACTGTTCACATCTGGTGCGGAATGTTCAAATATATATTGACCCCAAGATCAGATTATTCAGAAAAATAAATTAAAGAATACAGTAAGTTGATGTGAATTGATAATGCGTGCAGGCGAGATCGATCTTGATGCTTGCAAATAGAGAAATGAAGGAAAGAGCAAGGACACCAAACGGGTCATCGGAGCCATGTTCACCAAATACAGTGCCATTGTACAGCCCAGGTGGTGGTCTTTCTATGAAAAGATCGCTCCAAAATTTCCTCCAGAAGAGAAAGAACCGAATCCTCGAAGCTTCCCCCTACCATCACTAGCCAACTCATCAGTTTAAGGAGACACAATTTTTCATTTGTTGATGTCCGACAGATATAGAGTTCATTACTTTTTGGCCGATGTATCCATTGGCCCTTGAAAGGCCCTGTAAATTATATATGTATGGCGTTATATTTTGTAGCTCAATCTGGTGTTGAAGTTACTGAATTTCTTGATTGACATCAAGTTTATCTCTTTCTTTGTCTCATGATGATTTAATTTTCATTTATTTGTCGAATAATCATTAATTCCATCCCTTCAATTCTTTTTCAATGTTCACAACAAGAGGATTTCGGTTGATATTGGTTGAGAGAGTTTTCAATAATTAATTCGGTTCAAAACTTCAAATCCACTCTTGATCTTATGATCCCAGCAAAATTTGAGTGGCAACACGGTTTCAATTGCAACCCCAGAATGCGATAATTACTAGTAAGCCTAGAATTGATGGAGGGTTGTTATATGTGAAAACGAGTTGGCTTCACGAACTTTTCGGGATGAGGATAGTTTAATTAGGGCCTAAGCAACATTGGAAATATTTGTCATTTTCAGATTATAATTGGTCTGCGCGTGCATGTGTTTTGTGTACACACACTACACGCGTTTTTATAAATAGTAACCTCGTTTTAATTAATTTCCTTAAGCAAATCCATATATGTGATCCAGAATAATTAGAGCCATTTGCAACAGTTTCTAAATCATCATTAGATATGTGGGTCAGCAAAAAGATTTGCGGACATGTAAAAGAGATTATATTGTGGACCTAATAGGATATACTGTATTTTGCAATTCGACAATTAAAATTATTGAGTGATTGCATCCCCTCCCCCCTGGACAATAATAGTCTCTTTTGGTGGTACGTGCAGCAACGTTAGGCAGGATAAAATAAAATCTTAGCAAACGTTATATTTTCCAAGAGAGTATTCCAAAGTGTATAACTGTATAACACATAGCTTGGTGTATAGTTATATATAGCAACAAATCATATAAAATCATCACAGTAACAAGCATGGTGTGTGGAATACTTTAGAAAAATTAAAATTTTTATAAATAACTAATTTAACTAATTTTTTTAATTTTTAAAAATTAAATAGCTAAGTTAGGACTAGAGTTTGCAAATGTTAAGTCCAAGAAGAACTTATTGCTGAGCTGACTCTTCGTTTTTATGCTGATTTTATTCAAGACTAATGCTAGTCATCAGACTTTAAGACAGCATAATCTGTTGCGTTTCAAAACTGCTGATCAAGTGAACACATAGCCAAGTTGAATGGTTGCGGGAGATGCAGAAAGAGAAGAGTTTCGTGTATGAGACGTTGTAATAATTAACAACACTGTACACCGAAACTGCGCGCACATGTAAATAATGTCCTCTCAAAATTAGGTCCTGATGATCCCTAAGAAGCTAACCACTCCGATCCCAACATGACATGTGACAAGAACCTGTGCTCTCTAACTTGCCCAGTTCTCTTGTGCTTTATTTGCTCAACAGTAGTAGATAGATGTTAAAGAAACCCAACCACATGACAATGACTAGACAGTCTTAGGCAATAATATTGCTAACCCAATTCTGATATATAGCAGATCAGCTGCAGCCAGTTTCAGATGTTCCTGATATCTGTGGATTCCAAATTCTTGAGGTCTAGTATTCGTCAGTCGTCACGCAATTACATGGAAGTATCATCCCTTGAATATTATGTTAGGCCTATTATCATTATTATAACATGTGCACGGATATGCCAAAGCGACAATAATTGAGTCGACCTGCAACTATTTGATCGACTTACCAAGTCTCTAACCGAGCACGCAAGCAACTGGCTAGCTACACTGTACTTTGGATGACGATGACATGAACACTGGCTTAACATTACACTTGAATCAGGCACCCCTTCATAAAATCTACCACTCAATAATTACTTCATATATATGAACTTTTAACTAATTGATCGCAAGATGCCTTTCATCCTGTGTACGTTAATATCATGTATAAGACTAGCTGGGTTTCATACAGCCTCTCATCATTTTGTTTATTTTTGCCAACATTCATCTGTGTGATATTTTCTTCTTTTTAGGGGGAAAATCATGTTCTACAGGGTTGGCTCCTCCAACGTTTCCCCCTGTTGGAGCGCAAGATTAGGTTATTAATTATTAAACTGGGAAAAAAAGAAATACTCATGAAGGATTTATTGGTTCGATTATAACAAATTAATGATAATTAAATATACGTCCTTCCATTTTATAGATTACAAATTAATATAATAAATTATCACAAGTAAATATTGGATAAGCTTTAAATCCCTGACTATTCATAACTTGGTGCAAGCTAGGCTTCCATGGGAGTGAAAATCTCAACAATATAAGAAGTTATAATATCGCAGAATTACTGCCTTTGTGTTTTCAGGCAATTATGTCTGAGACTCTACAAGTACAACAATCCACCGAGCGAATGAACCCTGGCTTTCAGAATCAGAAAGACAACCGGCAAGTTGCAAAGAAATCAGTCCAAAGGACTTTTTTTCTTTCTTAGGCCATCGAGTCCGAAGGACTTTTTACTACTTTATTAGATGCAGCGAATAAAGGACTTATTCTTATTTGTCTAAGATGGTTCATTGTCTCATGCATGCTTGCTTATGAAGGATGTTCTCTGAAACTCTCATAATTAGAATGGTTCTCTCTATCAGGAGGCTTTCTGTTCATCACCTCATATCCTAGGGGCAATGCGTGGACGGTCCCACTCTGTGACAATGTAGTTGCGAGTGATCTCCTTGAGGGAACGGCAACCACTTAATGCCATAGTGAGTTCAAACTCATCCCGCAGCATCTGAAGTACTTTTCTCACTCCAGCTTCCCCATCAGCAGCCAGTGAGAATACCACTGGCCTCCCAATCTGCACAAATTTCAATCTCAAGGTTAATACATGCACGCCAGGAATTGGCTTCTGATCTGTGTCAAAATGGTAAAGCCAAGTTAAAATGCTATGCTAGTTGTTTTCTTGTGCCTACAAATACTCCAGATGCTCCAAGAGCCAATGCTTTGAATACGTCTGTCCCTCGGCGAATCCCACCATCTAGGAAAACAGGAACTCTTCCTTGTGCAGCCTTCACAACCTATATAAAATATTCATCCAAAACCATGATAAAATATATGACTTCATTTGACAGCTGAACAAAATGCATGACTATTGTGAACAAATGTCGAATGAACTGATTAGGAGCTAACTTCAACAGGGAAGAAGAATTAGATTGAACAGAATCTCGAAATAATCAATAGCAGCTACTTGATCACAATTAAGTTTCACCACCAAGAATGGTAATATTGGAGACCGAATCTGACAGCCACCTAGTGTTCTATTTCAGTGTAATTTATATGCAGCACATAAATGTGACCAAGGAAAATTGTACCTCTTCCAAAGCCACGATCGTTGCAGGGACATAGTCAAGTTGCCGAGCACCATGATTTGATACAATGATTCCAGCAGCTCCAACTTCTATGGCCATCCTTGCTACATTATAGTATAAAATAGTAAGGATTACATTTGAGATTTGAGAAAATAATTTTAAACAATACCAACTGGACATGACCACCAGTTGGTCTGCACAAGATGCTTACCATCTTCGGCCGTTAGCACACCCTTTACTAGAATTGGTAATGACGTAATTGTTTGGAGCCACTTCACATCCTATAACAAGGAACATAGGTTTTGCGGAGTATTATATCCACAGTTCATGTCACAGAATGAAAGTTCTCAACGCGGAAGATCAGAATCAGTGTCACCTTCCAGTTGAGAGACCGGTCAACTTGGCCAGCAACATAAGACGCTAAACCAGAGTTATCAGTCTGCATGGTGAAACCAACAATGTAAATATGTAATAATCACAAAAAATAACAATACTAATTCCCACAAAAAGGGGGCAATGTTAATAAATTACTTTCAGAAAAGTTTTTATCTTTGTTAAAATCTGTCAACAGTTTCTCACCTTATCTAGCTTCCCAAGATTTAATCCCTCAAAGTTCTTCAGTGTCAGATGTGGTGGCAATGTAAATCTGCAGCAAAAATCATCAAACAGAGTAGTTATGTATAAAGTTTTTCAAATTAACCATGACAACCTTTGCAAACTTTCGTTTAACCTTTATCTCATCGAAATTTTCAAAAGCATGCTAACCTGTTCTTAATATCAGCCTCCCTACGGCCAAGAACTGGAGTGTCCACAGTAAGGGCAATTGCCTTGAAACCAGCCCTTTCAGCTCTTTTTACAAGCTGTGCAACTATGCTCCTGTCTTTATACACCTTGACAATGAAAAGAACAGAAACTGATTAGGCCACATCAGATTGGGAATCTTAGATGATCATAATTCAAGCATTAATCATCAGTGTTTATGTCAGCACTGCCCAGCAGCATGCAGGAATTCATGCCTAATATTTGCTTATATATCAAAGGATTACTACAAATGAAACATAGGACAGAGAAGGCTGAAAAGAAAAAGGAAATGAGGGATATTCTTCTGTACTCACATAGAGTTGGAAAAACCGAATGCCAGGTCCAGTTGAAGCAACCTCCTCAACACTGGAAGTAGCCCATGATGATAGCGTCTGAAAACAAATAATGAAAATCAATCAAATGGCAACAAAATGAGTAAGGCAAAATGCACACATGCTAGGCCCTTTTTGTCTTCGTATTGGAGCTGACAATAAAAGGAAACTATAAGAAATATGGTGTGCTTAGCAGTAAACTACTCTGAAGACTAAAGATAGGGGAAACTAAACCATGATAGTTCCTGCTGCTGATGCTGCTCTAGCTGTTGCGTATTCTCCTGCAGAAAAGTTGCATCACTTGTTTTAAGTCTAAAATCCGTACCGTAACAGAAGTAATAAGACTATACTTAAAAGGATAGAAGGCTCAGAAACTTCTCTGTTAACAAATTCTCCAAAGCAGATATTTGATTTTAAAGTATTTTGTTCTGGAAATAACAAGAGTCCCATAATGTCAGACAAAGCATTTAAGGCTTTAAATATGTCTGAATCACCCTTCAACCCTTTCTATTAGATTTAAAAACACTAGACATCCTTAGATAATCCCAAAGCCATTGGCAGCCATTTTGGAAAGAATTCAGCTTGCCCGATTTGGTAAAGAAAAAGAAAGGAATTCTCTTTTGCGCAAAAAATCAAGATATATGCCACTTGCACAAATCCAAGGCAGGATGGGGTGTGGCGGGTTGTCATAAGTTCAATCCCTCTTCTTGTTTTTTTTTTTTGGGGATTTAATACAATGTGAATGTACGAACGCACACAAACATGTCAATATCAGGTTTAAAAAAGATACATAATATTTATTGTCATCATTACTGAATAACAATGATTCTTTTGTATCATTATTTTTGAATCTGTGGTTATAGAGAACATTTTCCGCTTTAAAGATCACTTTATTCTATTCTGTTTTCCACTTTGCATGCCAAACAGGCAAACTGCCTGGAATTGCTTCCCAGAAGCTCATAAGATTTGTGTGATTGTTGAGTTTTGTTCATTAAATCCTATTAAAGGAACAAATTAATGGACTACACTATGCAATCAAGATGAACCATATAAAAGCTTTAATAGCTACAGACATGAGCACCACTTAAGTTCTATCGAGACACAATGTTTTCTTATTAAACTGAGTAGCAAACAAGCTGCACATTGTGGCAATTTATAGTCTCTAGGGTACAATCAAGATGTAATACAAGCTGATTCCTTTGAGCACGTACCTTCAGGGTGAGCCATCTTCTGCATGGCTGTAGGAGCAATCATAATAGGCATTGATATTTTGAAACCCAATACTGTTGTCGCCAAGTCTATCTTGCTTACATCAACAAGAATACGTGGTCGAAACCTGTTTTAAGCAAATGAAATAGATTTTCAGAGACAGATTAAGGCTAAAAGAAAGGTTTTTTTGGGGGGATAAAGGGGGTTTATAGGCAGCAATCTTTTAATTTAGACATGGTTATTTATGATAACTCAGAGCATCGATTACTTTGATTTCCTTCACTTCTTTCTCATCTTAAGTAAAGGAAGGATAGAAGCACTCGGTTTAGAGAAAGAAGGGAAAAAAAAATATTCTGGAGGGAAAAATAAAGTGAATTACAGAATCCTCGAGAATGCAGATCGATTCTCCCTGAGAGTCCACTGGTCCTCTGCCCCTGATGCGTAGTAATCAAAAATCATCTTCGGCAATTTCTCCTTTGCAAGTGCCTCATACTCAGTAACATTAGTTATCTCGTCCGTCCTCATATCTGATATTTATGCTGTCTCCAGGATCAATATAGGGATCTAAGAACATGAACTTATGTCAAATAAATCTCTACCTCAAAAGCTAAAAGCTAATACAGAGCATATGGGTGGTGTACAACAGGCACTACAAATACAAGACACTGTAGAATGTGCTAGCTAGTGTTGTCCAATTCAATTGTGTTAAAAGCCAATCATGAGCAATATCACAGACACAATAGAACAATAGGAACTTTTGCCAGAGTGTTTTCATTGCACATCAGGCGCAAGATTTATCAGTCCTCTTAAGATCCTTTTAGCCGTTTTCTGGTACTGACTAAGTACATGTATATGATCAATCCGTAAAGTTGTTACACCTCACAACTTCTGAAATTGACCACTTAAAGTCTGAGGAAATCCAAGATTGGGGGGAAAAAAACAAGAAAAAAAAATCCAGTCTTCGATATTGAAATTTCAAGATTCTCCGATTTCAAACACCAAATGACTCCAGTTCAGAAAGAGAAAAACCAAAAGGAAAACAAAAAACCTGATCAATAAACGAAGGCACCATTAATCATGGCTGAAACTCGATGAAGCCTAGTCACATGATCATTCTAATATAATATGATAACATGCTATGAAAGCAGCAAGTAACAGAAAATCGAATACAAAAAACTTAATACCGAGGGAAGAACGGCCCTTCGGCTTGCGCTGCTTCGGAATGAGACGGGGCTGGACAGGAGCAGCAGACACCAAGAGAGAAAGTGAGAGCGAAGTTGAATGCGACAGAGACAAGCAACCACGGGGAAATATAATAGAGTCGAGACATTCACCAAATTCAGCAAATAAAAAAAGAAAAAACGAGAATGGAGACAAAAGGGGTGAGGATGAGAAGATGAGCGTTAGTGACGACTATATATTACTATTGACTTCTGTTTCATGGACGGAGGAGAGCGTTTGGCTGTTTCTGTATGGTGATTCCTGGGGAATGCAAATTTTTTCTGGATTTTACCTAATTCAACGTGGCCAAGTTGGGATGCTTATCAATTCCATTCGTGTTCAATGTATGGTACTATGAACTATGAACCAGTAACTGTTACGAAAGATTATTTTATTGGGTAATATAGGATAGGATTCTGAATATTCTCATGGGCATTGATTTTATTGGTCCTCAACATGTATTTCCATGATACGTTGTATTCTGTTGAATTTTAATAAATGCCCATAAGAACTTGAGAGGAATTTGCGAGCGTGATATGATAAATTGATAATTAACGATTGAAAAAATATTTTGTTTTCTAGTTTTTATTTTTAATTTAATTATTCTAATTTGATCTCATAATTTTTTTCATATTTTAATTTTATAAATAAACAAGTTAATAATTTTGTCGCCGTAGTTTATGTGAGTTTTCAGGTCTCTTCAATCTCCATAGAGTCGAAAATATTTTCGAGTCCCTCTATTATTTTCCACTTTATTAATGCCAGTCCCCATAATTATGCCAAGTCTATAAGCAAGTCCCTACAATTGGCAAGCGGTAAAGTGTGGCGACGCCATTTGGCTGCTGAGCTAACGGACAACGCAGGAGTCTATGCGACGATGAGGCTTCGTTCTCGGCATGTGTTTGACTTCCTTGCGGCTCCCTTCTTTTTTTTTTTGGTGAGTGCCTTGGACAATCCAAATTCATTATCAGCATTAAATTGGGTTTGTTTGGCGAAGGATGGATCATGGTTCATGGATGGGTGTTGTCTACTTGTCTTCTCCTCCATTATGACAAAAAAGTGCACAACTTGATTACCGTGTCCTTCTTCATCCCGATTCAATAACACGTCAAATTTTAAAGACATTATAATCGTTTCTGTATTTTTCCCCAAGTATTGCGAGCTCCAGATTCACAGCTAGAGCCTGGGCATTGCTTATAAGATTCTCTGCCTTTCCAACTAAAGTAAAAAACTATGGAGTTGGCATCTTCTAATTTACACGTAGCACGACAAGATGGCCCATGCTCGCTCCTTCATGTCATGCTCAGCACCTGCAGACCCCTGCTTCTCTTCCAGGAGCCTGCTATTCATAACACCACTCGCCAACATCACCACAGCACTGATACCGACACTTTTCATAGGGAGACTTATAATACAAGAATTAGTGGAATTTTAAAATTTCTTCACAATGTCATGTTGTCTCCGCGCTTTTAGTTTCACCCCCTATGATTCTTGATCCTAATTTTGCAGACGACTTTTTCTTCATGTACAATTCCAAGTGCAAATAAATATGACCTATGAATGCGATTATACAAGCATGGTGTTGGCTACAGCACTTTCCTGATATACAATTTTCAGGTTTTGCTAGAAGACATTGAGAAAATCTAGGGCAAAGCTTAAAGCCAAAGTGAACTGGATGACTTCTAGATGCAGACATGATGAACTTGAGTTAATGTTGCTATAACATGATGGCTTTATTCCAGCATCAGCAAAAGGCTTGCCACTTCTGTGTCTTCTGTTCAAACAAACAGGGATTTTCAACTGGGAAGAGATGTTCTTCTTGTTTGGGTGATAGCTTATGCAGAGCCCACTGTTTCCTCTCACGTCTAACCTTGTTCCAAGTCTTCCAATGAACTCTTCCGAGAACTGCAGAACCCCACTTAGATTGTTGTGACTCAGATTCAGCTCGTCCAAGTTTGGGAGTGATCCCAAATTTGAAGGCACAGGTCCCATCAGACTATTGTTATTTATGGAGAGAGCTGCTAGGTTATTCAAGGAATAGAGAGTGTTGGGTATGGGGCCAGTCAATCCACATCCTGAGATGCTAATTGATTTAAGGTTCTTAAGGTTACCAATGAACGGCGGTAACCCTGCTTTTATGGGGTTGTTATCAATGAGTAAATATTCTAAAAGCTCCAAACTTGATAGGGTTTCAGGAATAGGCCCACTTATAAAATTATGACTCAGATCAACTAAGACTAGACTCTTCAGCCTTCCCAAAGTTGGAGGTACTTTTCCAGTAAGCTTGTTGGAATCCAAATCCATCTTCGTGAGAAGTTGAAGTTCCCCAAGTGAATCAGGGAGATCCCCTTCGATTTCATTCCAACTTAGGTCCAATATGCCTAAACTTTTCAAACCTCCAATTTCATTGGGGATTTGACCACTGAAGTGATTATAACTCAAGTCAAGTTGCTCTAGACAAAGCAACCCACCAATCTGTCTTGGGATATTTCCTTGTAAGCTGTTCTGTGGAAGGCTAAGGACCCTAAGGCTAGCAACCTCTCCCAAGGTTGGAGGTAAATCTCCTGAGAGGGTTGGGTTAGATTGCAATGCCAGGTGTTCTAAGGCAGAAGAAGAATGAAAGATGGTTGTGGGAAGAGTGACTGGTGAAGCCACAAAACAGCTAAAAATTGAAAGGGTTTTCAAGTAACGAAGTTTCACCAAGGATTCTGATAGGTAAGCAGATGGTTTACAGGGTGGGAAGATTATATCAGGACCAATGTGGATCTTTGTGACATGAAAGATTGATGGATCTTCACTGCTAATTTCGCACTCAACTCCAGGCCATGGAGTTTCTGTACATGGTTGTGGATGTGCCTGTGCCCAATCAGGGTCATCCAGAAGAGCTCCCATCACTTCAAACAACCCTAGCAATTCCTCCTCTTCATGTGTATTGTTCTGCATTGCCATAGTTCCACCTGAAAATAAAAAAAACCCAACGAGAACAAGATGCAGATAAACCATTTGGTAAAATGCCAAGCTAAAATGAATTGCAGGAACTCTTGGGTATGGAGTTAATTAAAGAGACTGTGTAGATGGGAAAGAAGGGGAATGAAAAAAGAAAGTCCAGACATCTCATCTTTTTTGTGTCAGCGGAAGGCTATCTGCAAAGTAGAAAGGCAAAGGTACTGCCTTGTGACAGTGTTAGTTTGCATGGAAAGGGGGGTGGGATGGGAAAAGAGAAAAGACTTTTCCATAAACTGCAATATGAATTTCCAAGTCAGTCAAACGGAGCATTCCAAAACAGTATATGGCCGCGTCGGACAAGACAGGATAGTGTGCTTCTGTGACAAAGTTTGAAGCCGACCAGACACCCATGATACATACAGAGACCTACATTCTCAGCTGCCTCGTCTATCAACTGTCTGTACTAACTCATCCTGCCCCTTTGCTGTTCACTCTTGCTTTTTTTGCCTTTTCTATCCAATTCTGCATATCTATCATATTCATCATTATAACCAATCAATTTCAAGAGTTTTTATTTTTGGATCGTAGAAAATCAAAAGGCAGTGTAACGCCAGAGCTATGATTTTATGTCTTGATGGAATGAGACCCATGTGGGAATCCAAGTTTACTCCATATGAATACCGTCAATATGGTAGATCGGAGCGAGAGCTGTTTGATTGAGAAATCTATTTCTTCTCACCACACTCATGGAAATAAATTCTCCACATTACGTAACATGACATTTGAATCCAATGCATTTTAAATGAAAGACGGAAGGAAGGATTCAATGCGTTTCTTGAATCATCTCAATCACTCGTCATTCATCAGAGCAGATATTAATCTATGAAGATACTAGCTAGGCACTTCTTGCCAATATTGTACAAGTTTTGTATTTTATGGAGTGGTCGCCTGGTCGGTTTTACTTTTCCCGCACCCGGCCAAAAAAAAAAAAGACAAAAGAAAAGAAAAGAAAAGAAAACAGAACTCTCACTCATTAGTAGCTAGGAGATATGAATTATTATGGATATAACGTATTTCTTAAATCATCTCAATCACATCTTAGTATGAATCTTATGGAGATATTGGTGAGGCGCTTGTTACAGATGTTACGGACGTTTTGTATTTTACGGAGTGGTCGGTTTTACTTTCTCTTTTCTTGACATTTGCAACTTGCAGGCTGCAACAGATAAAAAACAAAAACCTTGATTGATCTTTTATCTATAAATTATGAAGACATGTGAATGCCTACAACGTGCGTTCCTGGATTTTTTGTTTTTAGGCCAAGAGGTGTATTATTTGGATTTAATGATTAAATAAATCATTGCTAACACTTATTCATCATTTAAACATAGTTTTTAAACTGTATTCATAATTATACGTAGATGGAAAAAATTGTATAGTTCTTTGACAAAAAAAGTCAAAATGATAACAAATTAAGAAAGAAAGAGTCACAAAGCAACCTAACAGATCAGGGACAAGAGGTAGAGAGCTCAAATATACAAGCGGGAAAACTCTTACTGAATCTTATTTGAGAAAAAACTAATAGGAATTGGGTTTAGTAAAAATAGCTAGTTTATTATAACGTGGCGAACTAATATTTGAATACCTATTAGGAGAGATTTTTATATTTAGTATCAGATAATACCTCAAACGTAGTTATTTCTAAGAGGAGGATATCTGCACCTAGAAAAAAAGAAAAAGAAAATATGCAATATCTTGCAAAAAAATTTTTATAGCTAATATATCAAATTTAATCTATACTTTTTATAACTACCAGATGAAAGTCGTTATTAATTAACTGCAAACACTAATAATTAATAATTGTACATAATTATGGTTATGTTTTTTTGGGTCCAGTACATAATTACGAATCATAAATAGCTGCTGCTTACTAGTGCAATAACAAAATCTAATCAATTAATTAACACGGAATCTCAAAGCTGTTAGTAAGGTGAAGCCATTACTAATTACTTAAGGCTTGTTCGTTTTCTTATTTTAAAAACAGTATTTTAACTTTTGAAAAAATTATTTGCCAATTTGTTTTTGGTTAAGTGTTTTTAAAAACAAAAAACAGAAATTTAGAAAAACTTAAAAAAAACAAAAGAATTTTTAGTTACTTTCTTTTTCTTTTGTATTTGTTTTTTGAGAAAATTCAGAAATCCTTCCTTCTCCACTTGATGGTTTTTTTTTTCCACTTTGAAAACTTGAGATCTCATCAAAGTTTCATCTGCCGGTCTCACTATGTTTATTTTCAAATGTAATGTTTTAGAATAATTATCCAAACAATTTTTTTTAATTTTCAAAACTTGTTTTAAAAAATAATTTTATAAAATTTTTTTGAGGGAAAAAAACAAAAACAAAAACAAACATGTGCCCTTAGCTTTTGACTTAAAAGGTAAAAGGGGGATTGTTACTCTTCTTGTCAAATAATTCTGTTTTCTTTAATCAAAATTAGGAACGTCAAGTCACATGATGGTCTTTTTTTTTTTTTTTAAATATCCCTGGAAATCACAATTCGCTAAATTAATACAGCCAAAAGCCAACATATGTGGGATGGAAAAAACTTTTAGTCATCCATCTTTTTAAAAAAAAAAATTGAGTCTCGACTCCAGGGTCGTAAATATATTTTTATGGCATGTAATGGAAATAAAAAGTGAAAGCCACATAGTTAAATTTGGTCCAAACAGTTCGCCTAAAATTCAAAAATAATGATGATTAAACTTATACGGAACATTGAATAATTCTTAAGTGAAACAATATATTAGTTAAAAGTTGTTGAAGATAATTAAATTAATAGAGAAACACCTTTTTACAAAAATTATTCTTAGTCAATGGTTGATACCAATAAAAGGCGTGTAATGAGCTAAAAAGTGTTTTATATTTTGAACCACCAAATACTCCAAACAATATTTTTTTATATTTCTAATGTAAGAGATACTTGAGAGTTAGATTCAATCCTAAATATAATCAAGACTTTTAATTCTCTTTATTTCTCATCTTTTTTTAAAATATCCCTATCAATAGGGATTTCCATCAAGAGATAATTTCGATTATCTAATACACGTGATTAGAGGCAGAAACAGGCCAGTACAAGCCAGACTTTATCCTTAACAGGACAGGCCTGTGTAGTGACAAGTTGGCCTGAACCTGGCCTGTGACCTATTAGAAGCTTTTTTTTTCAACTTAAGCCTGACCTGTATAAAGGCCTGACCTAACCTGAGCCTGTTAAAAAGCCTGTAATTTTAAAATTTTTAAAATGCATAGTAAAAAATATATAGGCTAATAAAAAAAGTAAAATATACCTACTACATGATAATTATTTTTTATTATTATCTTTTATTTAAATTTTAATATCATAAGTAATATTTTAAATTTTAAGTACGGTTAATATTATTGAAAACAAGTTACAAGTATATATTAAAAGTTGAAATAAGACTTGATATACGTACAAAATAAAAATAAAAATTAAGATAAACAAACAGGCTAGGCCTAACAGGCTTTTCAAAAAGTTTGGGCCTGGCCTATTAGCCTAAACAAGCTATCAAAAAGGTCTGAGCTTTTTTTCTATTTTGAAACATGCCAGGTCAAATGAAGGCCAGATGACAGGCCGCCTGGCCTGTTTCCACCCCTACACGGGATTGAAAAGGATAGTTTACAGAGATCAACATACATTTGTAACAAATACTACCTCGATCTTATATATAAGCGCTAGTTGACTAACTTGAGTAGATTAAACAAATAAATTAAGTTAGTTATTTGTAATAAATAGGTGTTGTGTTTTCTAAAATATCCTTGCTAATCAAATTTATTGGTTAGAAGTACCATTATTAGAATGACTATCTTAAAATAATAAATAAATATGAGAGAGAAAATAGATTGGAGTCTTATATTCAGGACTAAAATAAAAGTCAAATGAGATTTTATATTAAAGACTAGAGATAGTAACTAATTTGACTAATTTTTTTAATATTCTCAAATTAGTTATTTAATTCTTATATTAAGGATCATAAGTAGTACAAGATCTAGTTAACTGGAAGTGGTATTATAAAAATATGAGTTATGTACAATTCAGTTCAAATAAGAGGATCAAGATACAGAGAATGTGTGTGTGTGTATTTAAAATTTATAATATTTATTAGAGTGTAAAATTTGAAACAAAAAATATTTCTGGATGATTATAACAATATGATGATAATGTTGACTTACACTAACGACCAGAATGCTAATGACAGACAACTCAGCTGGCCCTAAAATCTTTGAGGTTCACAAATAGTGTACTGCATGCATGCCTATAAATCTCTATTAGCATTAATCACTTACTCTATCAAATCATTTGTGCTTTTGCGTGGCAACTTCTATGCCACATACCATCAAAAAAAATAAAATAAAACACATACAAGAAATTCAAGGCATGACATTAGTTTGCATAATACTCTTGGGACCATTAGGTCTCTTATTAGTAAGTATGTTGCAACCAACAGATTAATCAAGACTTAATTAAACTCCGTAATAGAAGCCATTAAATAGTGAGCCAAAAACAGAGGAAACCCCTTCCTTTAATTTTGTCTTGCTGTCTACTTTGGAGTGTTCCTCTCGTTACCACAAAACCCCATTACACGCCTTTTATTAATGGCCTATAATAATAATAATAATCCTTAATCTCATTTAATCACGCAAGTCTCTCATAACTCCCCAATCAACATTTGACAACATTGTCACCAACCTTGTATTGTACCCCACAAGTTCTACTTCCCTAACATCATCTTCGTGGATTAATATTACATATATTTTAACAAGCCAATCACACCTTTAATTAGTCCAAGTTAATCAATCCAAAATAAAAAGCCAACACCGACGCCGATAAGTAATTCGGAAGGTATATCATATATGAGGCCAAGCTTGGAATATTCATTGTTCATGAACCTTTTCTCATCACCTCAATTATTTTAACCACGAATTCCCCATTATTGTATTCCTCATTATTGAAATAGTGATCTATATCAGGCAGACAACTTGAAAACACATGCACCACACAATCTAAGGTCACCATCTTGGAATAATAGACACAATAAAGTAAGAACTATAAATCCGGGAAATAAAAGGTGTTTGCCTCATACGTGTCGAAGATCCAAGTCTTTGGGGACCCAACTTGGCGGCTGCACACACAGGATTTGATTCTTGTGGGTCAGGTTAAAGTTTTCCAAAATCCATCTGCAAAAGCTTGAATTGTTCTTCTGAAATCGGGTGAGGGACAGAAGGACCCCACGACCTCCATATTATTGCCCTAGGATCAGCAAGAGTTTCGCGCACTTTTGCAAATGATTGCTTAGTATTTGGTTATGTGATTTTGGTTTTTATTTGTTCATATGATTATTTGATCGTGATGATAAAAGTTACACCTGGATAGCTTCTCTAACCAGTCATCTTCATAGCCATTCATGTAAACCCTTGGGGCTTTGCTTCATCGCACAAGTGTCCTCGTTAGGCTCCAAATTCGTGCCCCCCACTGCTTCATTCTCAACACGGCTTCTGATTAAATTATGTAGTTCAGAACTATTGAGGCACGTTTTAATTCGTTCCTGTTTTTCAAAAACCTGAAATTGGGTTACAAGGATCGACGATGATGCATGATAATAATTATTCATTCTTCTTCTCCTTAAAAAATGTTATTTTAGTCGTTTGAATGAGTTTTCGGCTGTACTTGATCTTGAATTAAAATACTCCGACCTCAATCATTTTGATAAGTATACTTCACAAACGATTAATAGAGCTTTAAATTCTATCAAACAACACAGTGCAATATACAACTGTGTACCTGTATAAACTTCTAGACAATTCCGCGCATAATATATGTAATTTTTAATGAATTAAGCAACTGGAATATCTAATCATGAAGAGATAGTAGTGTTTGACAAGGTAGGCCCTTTTCATAAAAACGACTTTGTAGTTTGTAGGACGGCGTATAGAATTGGGGTTTGTTGGCGAGGCTTATGACTATGCTTGATGAAATTGTTAGACCAATTAAGTGTCTGATTGTAATTAGACCTTGTAATTAATCAAGACTTCATATAATTAATTGCTACGTGTTATAACAACGCCAACTTATCATGACGTTGATTGTATTAATGTATTTTGACTTTCCTTCTGATTAGCTTGTTTTCTCTTTATGTTACTTTCAAGTATCAAAATTTTTATCTTTCATATCTATCATCGAAATAATTGAGAGCTAAATAAGGCAAAAGCCACGCTAAAAACCAGAGAGCAAACGAGCAAATATCAACCTCAATGGTAAAACCCAGATCCTCATAGCTCCTTTTTTACGTAATCATGATCCAATTTTAAACGAATTTAATGCTGAATACATGAAACTTATTGATTATTTTTAATAGACTAACAGTAACGTAAGTTTAGCTCCGTAATTTGATGCGTATTTTTCTGTGATGGAGCTGACACCGTAAGTAAAATTGGTATTTAGTATTATATATTTATATTTGTAAGAAAATTTTGCCAAATACTTGTCGTGAATTGGAGAGCTCAACCGTAAATACACCACAAGCAGGATTAATTATTCATTAAATTAGCTGGCACAATGCAGGTTGCACATAAATAAAATGGAGAAATATACACGAGAGACATAGAGACAAGGGGTGTATTCGTAATTGTAACGAATTAATCATTTGACCCCCAACCAAGACCATATATAAAAAGCATTAGTGGGTTCATTTGGGACTACCACGAAGCCACATTGCTCACCAAACAGCTTCACACTCTTCTCTCATCATATACTATATATCTACCTCTCTAGCTAGCTAGCTAGCATGTCCAAAACACCATATCTAATGGGGGATTCGATGGTGAAATCCTTCAAAGCAAAAGACCATACCCGTAAAGCTAAAGGCTTCACTTTCATGGCCTCTGTCTTCTTCTTCTTCATCTGTACCTCTATCTTCTATATTCTGAACCACTCTCCCAACACTCTTACCAGTCTCTTGAACAACAACATCTTCTGGTTTTTCATGTCCAACACTCTCATCCTCATCATAGCTGCTGACTACGAAGCTTTCTCTTCTTCTTCTTCCAAGACCAATCAAGATCATTATTACGAAGAGTATGTCAAACACAGCCAAGCCAGAAATTATAATCACTATGTCACCTCATCTTATGTCGTCCCCACCTCCAAATACGAACAAGTTGATGAAAAAACTTGTGTCATCGTCCCCGCCCAGCAAGAGCTGCTTCAGGAGGAGGAGGAGGAGAAAGAAAGTGTGGTTGATCACGATAGTGAATCTGTTCCAGAACGTGTGCTTGAAATCGTACCACAAAATGACCTCAAGAAATCACCACCAACACCACCACCATCGACTGAGGATAAACCAGTACAAGATTATAGTAATAATATTAAAGCCTGTGAGGAGAAAACATTATACCCAGCTGGAAGAGCTGTGGGAAGAAGTAAATCCGATAGGTATGGCCATGTTAAGCGAGTGGTGATTGACGAGAGAAAGAACAGAGTGATTAGAAGGGCAGAGACGATGAAAGTAGAGGAAGCAAGAGTAGAAGAAGAGAATAATGAGTTCTCAAGTATGTCAAATGAGGAGCTAAATAGAAGAGTGGAGGAGTTTATTCAGAGATTCAACAGGCAGATGAGGCTTCAGGCAGTTAGGAATAGTATTGTTCATGAAGCTTATTGATCAGTAGATCTTCTAAGTGTTAGCTAGCTACTAGAATCCTATGAGAGAAGTTAGGAAATATGGTGTTCCAAGATTTTTGCTGTCCTTTGGCCCTTGTACTTTTCTTGTATCTGTTGTCCTTTGGCTAAATAGTATAGTTTATATGTTTTGGACCTTACTACAATGAGAGCCTTTATATAATCAGTCATATCTTTTCTTGGGGCATAATTTTTCTATTTCCTTTTCGTCCATCTATGTTGGATTTTGTACATTTATTCTAATTTTATATGACCAAGTAGCTATACCCTCGCTCTCCCTCGATCCTTCCTTGTTATTCTTTTCTATTTTGCCTGATCCCAAGATAATATGAAAGACCTCATGAATCACGTGACTCAAACTTCGAGTCGAACAAATTGGTATTGTGCGCTGTTAATTGCAGAGCTTGATCAGAAATTTGGATAATTTTAATTTAGCTTCTTGTAACGAGTATATGTGTAAGTAATTTGACATTAATTATTTCACTGTGTGTGTCATTTTAAAGTAAAAGTGTGGAAATAAACTTTTGAATTAGCAGGCACTGCACAATCAAAGCTGTAACTATCTTCTTTGTCGGCCAAATTAAATCAAAGCCCGTAACTATCACAATACGAATAATTGACTCATTATTGTCACATAATTAAACCAAATCAGCAATCATCGTTGCAGTCGAATCTGTAGGGTGAGTTTATCTGAGTTTTCATTCTATCTCTTTCTGAAAGCACTGGTGATCCATGAGGAAATTAGTTGTGTTTAGTGAGAAAGCTCTTGAGGGCTTGAAGCTGAACCAGGGAAGTAATCGCCCTCTCCATGCGAATATATGAATTTAAGCCTTCAGGTCATGAATGAATATTGAAATTTGAACACACAAGGGTCCACCGCCCCCGTCTAAAGTCTTAAAAGTTGAGGTACAAAACTTCAACGAAACATACACATATAATGCCTCGACACTCGCACTCGCCAGAATATTAATAATGTTGATGAGGACGTGAAAATATGAGCTTCGGTTAGAATCAGGTGGGCCAGCATCAAGGGACAAGGAAGCTACTTGTATCGCTGGTTTACCTGATCTCATATATCATATGTAATGTGTAATTATTGATGAAATGATGCGACAGGTTTCGAGTCATCTGATGAGTAAGTAACTCTACTATTAGGGATTAATACGAATTAAAAATTTAATTATGATTCTACCAAAGAAAAATAAATTATGAATTATATAGAAGCAATAGTACGAATCCTTATTAAGAGCCACAAAAGTTTCAATTGCTATAGAGGAAATACTTATTATATTTTTTGTGTGCTGATTATTCGTTATTCTACAATTTTATGTACTGCAATAGTCAGAATTATGATGCTAAAGTTATTCCAATTTATGATGATGATTCTAGTATATATTTCTTTGTGAAAACTACTAAACCTTGCTAATAGTTATTTCAGCTAGTGAATAACAAATTTATAGATTTTATAACATAAGACGGACTTTTATTATGATTAAAAATTTCATATTTACAGTCAAAGTTTGGAGTCTTTCAATTTTAAAATACTTCTTTGGCACTTAATATAAGACCTATTTAATTAATTTGATTAGATTAAGAAAGTTAGTTAATTATAAAAAAATATGATATGCTTTTTCTAAAACATCATAATCATTTTTCTTGATATCCTCTCTCCCATTTCTACTTGATTATAGTTGAAAGAGTATTCATAAGGGTAATTTAGGAAAAACTGACAAATATAAGAAATAGGTCCTATATTTAGGATCAAAACCAATTCAACAATTAGGTCTTAGATTAAGGATTAGAGGAGTAATTGTTACTTCTCGAGTCTTTAATATAGGACCTAATTGTTAAATTATTCTTGGTCTCTAATATAAAACTTATTTCTCATATTTATTAATTTTTTATAAATTATCCTTATGGATACTCCTTTAACCATAATCAAATAAGTGAGGGAGGAAGGATATTAAGAAAAACGATTATGGTGTTTTAGAAAAAACATGTCATATTTTTTATAATTAACTAAATTACTTAACTTTCTTAATCTAATCAAATTAGTTAAATAGGTCTTATATTAAGAATAGGATGAGACCTATAAATATTTATATCTTCTTGATATATCTTTCCATCCTAGGACAATGTGCAGCGGCTAAATTACAGTCCTCCTTCCATCCGGTATACGATTCTGCATAGTGCGTATCTGATCTTCCAGTATACTATCTTTTTAACTTTTTAGTTTTTTATATTATCATTTTGTCTTGTCCTGTCTTCTGTTGCGTTTCATACGTCTCTTATATTCGTTTCTACTTTTCACTGTATATGGCTTGTAATTTGTCTTCCCCTTTTCTAGGTAATAGATGGCAGAAAATAGCTATAAATTTGTCCTATCTTTCATACACTTTTTGACCATAATTTACTTCCACCCATTGGCTCTGAAGATACTGATGACTACTAATGCTGTTGGTAAAATTAAGTTCTGATCTGGTTAGGGAGGATCAAACATAACCAATATCAGAAAGGTCGGTTCCTGCATCCTAGCATAGATCTGAACGGAGAACATATATGAAACTTAAGACTACGTACATATCATGCTTTATCAAGTTTAATTATTGGTGTTAAGTGATTTTCCATTGTGATATCAGGTTCATGCGTGTGTTTCAGTTCAAGTTATTTGTAGGAAGGTTAAGTAACACATCCAGCCTTCCTTGTAATGAATCCAAAAATTGCTTTTGGATTGGAAACTCAAATTTCTGCGGAAACTAACTGAACAAAATCTATTCTTTAAACTCAAGGAGCCTGCAGAACAACAGATCCTATTCAAGTAAGGTCATTGCTAATACCAGCAAGTAGGAAAAAAATTATTCTTTTATCTAATTCATTTTCTTCATTTGCCGGATGATATTGCTGTTATATCAGGTGTGATGATGCATCTGACATGCTTTCGTAAGCCTTCTATGAAAACTCTGCTCTGGACTAATTCTTACTCAAGCCATTTGCATTCGGTTCACCGCCTGAAATTCATGTTTTACACACACACAAATGTTCTGTTGGATGTTAAGGACCAAAACAGCATGCTAACTCTCATTCATACGAACTTAGCCAATATTTTTATACTCTCATGCTATAAATACTGATGCAAAAGTTATGCAAAATCCAATTCATTGAACGAGTATTTAAAGCCTAGTTGGCTAGTTGTTTGATCTCAGATTTCAGGAGTAGTGACAGAGGTTTGTGACGCCAGATCCTCCAGGCTTGATCATGTTGAAAACTTGATCCAGGACTTCAAAGAATCATACTGGAATCGCCACCTGAGTTATTGGAATGCTTTGGAGGCTTTACAAGGTGAAAATTTGAGTTATTGAAGCTTTAACTCGTCGTCCCACCCAGTTTCTGCAGGAGTAATTAGCAAGATTGTGCTCAGGATTCGTTGCAGGTTGTGCGGAGAAATTATGGTTCCTACTTTCATTTTCTCTTCTTGTGTGATTTTTTTCGTATTAATGCTACCCTTTAGTCCGCAGCCAATGATATCTGTTTTGAGATATCAAAATCACTAAATGGTTTTTCCCCCACACACATGGCTAAGAATCGAATCTGACAACTACTTGTCAGCTGTGCCAGACTTATTAATTTCTTAATATGCATTTTCTCTCAGAAAGTTCTTAGGATCTTTCTTTTCTCTGATGTTACTATATCTTTCACTAGCAAGGAATCAACTTTATTTATATCCATTCTTGCTAAGAGTATCTTCCCTAATAGTGCTAATGAAATCCAGTTTCAAGCAATGACCTCTTTCCAGTGTCCTTGGCTTGTGTTAGAAATGCGGTTCAAACTACGGAAGTTGCTTCTTTCTAGCATCGATCCTTTTACCAAAATCCTGAATGTTGAAGTGACAGTCTAGGATCAGGAAAAAATAGTTTTAAATATTTCAACTTCATCGATGCAAATTGTTTTAGCCCAGTTCTCCTAGATATTTTTTTTTTGTCAATAATGTGAGGGAAATGATTTATTCAAAATAAAATTCTTCAAAAAAAAACTTTTTTGTGTGGAAAATTTGATTAAAAATTTAAAAAGCGTAATTAATATATTCTATGAAAATTAAGAGAAATAAATGCCTTTCCCCAAAAGAAGATAGATCCATGAAGTCCGATGCGAGCAGAAGTTGGGCTATTCATGTTATTGGGCTTTTTTCTTGTTAGTCTTACCTTAGTTCTCCCCTCAACTAATTGATTATAAACAAGCGATAGGAAATGGAAATCCAACGTAGGAAGCAATCAAAGGGCTTCAACGCCTGTTTTCTTGTGATTCAATCGTGCACGCATCTTCCTGGCGTCACCTTTTTCGCGGCTTTAATATAAAATTCACTAATTTGGGGGTCTTCTTTTATATATTTACAGAGTTTAGGAAGCCCAAGCGTTAGGATTAAGGCTAATTTGTAAGTTTTCTTTTTTTGGTCAAAGGCTAATATAATTGAATATAGTAACCATGGATATGTTAATTCTAATTGTAAGATCAAGATACGCTCTTACCATATACAGCAATTCCACTTTAGTGAATTGCTGTTTTCTCTCCTCTCTTCTTGTAATTATAATTTATCTAGATAAAACTGTAATAATTTCCTAAACAATAATCCAGATGGTTCAAAAATCAGCCTCAAACAAAAATAAAAGATGTAATCATGGTGAAAATAAAAAAATTGAAATGGGAGCATTAATTACTGTCTTTCCATTTTAAAAAAACGTATGTACCCCCAAAAAAAAGTGTATATTTCTTACTGAAAAAATTAGAATCATCCCTCAAAGGCTGACAAGCCAGTTTGGCATGAGTATGGGGACTTGTTTGAATGATTTGGACGGATATGCATTGGGAGTTGCATCACCGCATCACATAACGACGGGGGCTGAGAAAATATTAGCGGAATAAAGTGAGATAAGATTACTCGACGTAACGTCATTTGCGGAAATATTGCTGGAGTTTGCTTTCTGGATTTATCATTTCTTCATGAAGCTATTGTGAATTCGGCAGAGAAATTGAGTGTAATATCCCGATTCCGAAGTTGAGTTACCTTTGTTTCATCAATGGCCGCCAGGAGACAATTACAGTGTCTGCTGCGGAGGGGTTGCAGGGGAACTAGATTCTTTGGGGCTGTTCCTGAAGGCAGCGCTTCTTCCTCTTCTCAGAAACTCATCGATAAAGAATATGAGTATAGTGCCCACAAGTAAGATTCTCTTTTCTGTCTACCGAACTACCCGTCCCAAATAGGTGTTTAGGTGAGAAAACCATCCAAGATTGAGGCTTCAATCATTTTTCGAGTTTTGGTTTCTGGGTCTCATCTATTTTCTTGTTATAATTTGATTTTTGATGATTTTATCCCATTTTAATGAAGTGAAAATTTGGGTTACTAGCTTTTGGCTGAAGGGAAAGTTTAATGCTAGTTGAGAGAGGCTGTAAGCTTCTAAAACCAGATACTAAGCTGAAATCACCCAGTTTTATTCAGGATTGTCACGGCTCCAATAACCATATCATTTATTGTCTGGAACTTTGGTTGAAGTTCAGGACTTAAGTTGTTCGTGGATTTTTTGCCTCCCACGCTTCCTTTAAATTTTAGGTTGATGATGTTGCTTACAGTGAGGCGAGCCTTATAATGCTCTCCATTGGTAAAGGTGGATAATCTTAGGGGTTGTGTTCTGAATGAAAGGGTGATGTATTTCCGCTTACTTCGTACGTGTCAGCTCACAACTGGAGGTTGTATAGAACTGCCGTCTGGCATTATCTTTTCAACATCAAGGATGCCTTTATTCTTTTGTACTAAATCGTGGTTTCAAAACTTTAGCTTATCCAAAACTTTCTTTAAGATACATTTTAAGGGCATTTGTAAGGATTCAACAATCTTTTCTTTTTCAATTTTGGTTCCTGCAAATCTTGTAACTAATCAATTCAGTGTTGCGAGCTGATTATTGATACTTGTCTTTGCTCTGTTTCAAGAACAGTTATCATCCCCTTCCAGTTGTATTTTCACAAGCAAAGGGATCTTGTGTATGGGATCCAGAGGGAAACAAATATCTTGATTTTTTATCGGCTTACTCAGCAGTTAATCAGGTAACATTGTCTCTATCTTGGTCCCTCTGTAGTCTCTTGAATTGGTTTTGGGACAGAACAGGTTGTTTATTATTATTATTTTTTTATGTTGTTGTAATCAATAAGGTAGGCTTTCAGATCAATTCAAATTATTTTTTTATACGATGGTTTGTGTCTACTCTAATGCAACATCCAAATTGGTGAACGCGAATACTTCCATTTTCTTGTTATTGCTTTTAAAGGCATCCAGTGTGTTGATTGCATATCATACTCATTTAGGGACATTGCCATCCAAAAATATTGAAAGCATTGCAAGAACAGGCAGAAAGGCTGACTCTAAGTTCTCGAGCCTTTTACAATGATCGCTTTCCTGTATTTGCTGAGCGTCTAACAAGCATGTTTGGTTATGATATGGTGCTACCAATGAATACTGGTGCTGAAGGTGTGGAAACAGCTCTGAAGTTGGCAAGAAAATGGGGTTATGAGAAGAAAAGAATTCCTAAAGATGAGGTATAAACTGTAGGACCCGTGCTAACTTCTGTAACATCTTGATAGGCTTCAGTGGGACTAAATAAAATATTCTCTTGAAATGGCCATTACTTTTCAAAAATAATTTTTGTTTGTATACTTATCTTGTATGCAATTATTTGTAAAGTGTAAATGTGTCGATGACTGTAGCGACTAATGATGTAGGTGTTTACATATGCCCATTAACTGGTGAAAATTGCGCCAAAAAGAAACTCTCCAATGATGAAATATCTAAGGTGTGTGGAGCATGAACTATGAAAAATATGGACAATAGTATTAGAAAGATACATTGAATCTGAAACCACTACCCTTGATGGAGAAGTTGTGCAGTTTGAAAAAAATAGAAGGGATATTGAGTATAACTGTGGACAGCTGTGGTATAAATGAAAAAATTTTGATGTTTGAGAGGATAATTTTGGAAACTCGTTCTAGCTATGATGTTTATTTCTCTCGGATTCATTATATAATTTTGCAAAGGAAAAATTGTTCCAAGATCATTATCTTGAAAAATTGGCATCCTCTTTTTGGTTCCAAATTATGCTAGATTTGAGTATGCTTGGAGCTTAACCTTTATATTTACATATCTCTTATTTTGTTTTGCAGTCAGTTTTCGACAAAAATTTCCAGAGTCTTGTTTTGTACTTCATTGTCTCCAGTCATGTCTTCCTTGTTGGTCGTTCTATATTTCTTTTTATAAAAAATACAGTTATTATTATTTTATTATGGCTTCATATCATGAGTCCTTTTGCTTATAGACACTAACTGCAGGCTATTATAGTCTCATGCTGTGGCTGCTTCCATGGTCGCACATTAGCTGTTATATCTATGAGCTGTGACAATGAAGCTACCCGTGGTTTCAGTCCTTTATTGCCCGGTCATCTTAAAGTTGATTTTGGAGATGCAAATTCCCTTGAAAAGATCTTCAAAGGTTTCAAATTGCTCAGTATACATTTTAAATTTTTGTGCAGCGTGGAAGATTATAGGAGTTCACCTTTTGAATTTTATCCATGACAAAGTGCAGAAAATGGAGAGCGCATAGCTGGATTTCTTTTTGAACCAATTCAAGGTGAAGCTGGGGTAGGTTTTCTGAGAACAGATTTCATCAGTTTGACAGCACAACATACCTCGACTCACTGATAATATGCAATGGAAGCGTGTCCATCATTTTATGTGTCAATCGTCGAATATTTTCCCGCTTTCTGTGGTTGATTACATATTATATCCAGAATGGAGAAGTGCTTCAAATTTATTAACTTTTATATTGATATTAAATCAGAAGCGCATTCCTTGATCCCTTGTTTACCGAGCTCATTTTTTATGAAAAAGACTGTTCAAATTTAAATTTTTAGAAATTCCTTTGCTTGATATATCATCTCAAACTTGCTTTATAGCTTAAGCATAATATTCTATTCCATGTATACAAGGGATTCAGATAATGCTTACTATCTTGTGGTAAAGTTAATATTCTATATATTAGCTTTGTCTATGAAGTTGAGTTAATTGGCATATTGATATTGTGGGCTGGTGCTAAGTGCACCAGATGAAGCAAAGAAGAGAGAAGCAACCAAGAATTTCCATTGAAATGTTTGACAACCCATACAATGAGAATGAAGCTTAGTATCAGTAGGATACTCAGATGAACAGAACCCACACGACCATCCCCCACAGCCGCCAGCCTTTGACTATATTTTTTTCCTGACCACTTCTACGACCGCTGTCCTGCCTAATGCATTATTTTTGCTATTTGGCATGTAAGATGGCCGCTACTGGGTTCTTCTCTTCCCTTCCTCTATTGTCTGTCTTAGCAACCACAATTTTATTCAGATAGCTGACTTCTCCTGTACATACGTATAATATTTCTTCTTTTTTTTGGGGGGGGGGGGGGAGGTGATTTGAGCTCCCAATTGTTTGCTTAATTTCTGCGGTTCCTCTTTTGTCATTTATGACAAATATATATCATTTATTGGCAGGTAATAATTCCTCCGGATGGCTATTTAAGAACCGTCAGAGATCTCTGCTCCAGATATAATGTGCTGATGATAGCTGATGAAATACAAACTGGATTAGCAAGGACAGGGAAAATGCTGGCCTGTGACTGGGAAGAAGTTCGCCCAGATGTCGTGGTTAGAACTCCTTCTACCTTAACTGTACCTATATATACTGTCTGAACAATATGAGGTAAAGTGGCGAATCTGGAAAATTTTCAGTGCTTGCCTTGTATTATATGGTCATGTGACTCGAGAAGTGCCTGGCAACTGTCCAAGCCAGACTTCCATTTCATTTATTGTTTTGAATGAAATAGAAGACATTTGAATTAGTTACTTTATGGACGTCAGGTTTTGGGTATAGATTTATTGGAAAAATCTATGATCATCACCTTCCCTTCTTACATATGCATAATACAGAAATAATCTGGATAAAAGTTTTGTTTTTGTACATCATTAGAATGCAGGTTAATGGCGGTTTTCATGTGTATATTCCATAGAATTTGTTCTTCCAACCTTTTTTTCACTTAGATTTCTGAGTGAAAAATATTGGAATTTTGACATCTCTAGAATATCTGGAGGATTTGATCCTGGAATTTTTCCCCCTTCTCTATCTTCTTGTTCCTTGTAAGATTTTGCATTTCGTGCTTCTTTCAAAGGCTAACTCTTCTTAATGCCTTTATATTTAGATATTGGGGAAAGCTTTGGGTGGAGGAGTCATACCTGTTAGTGCTGTTCTTGCAGACAAAGACATAATGCTTTGCATTCAACCTGGAGAACATGGAAGGTTTGAATTATCCGTACCACTATTTATTATATGGTGCTTTTTTCTTCACATTTTGTTTATTTTTTTAATATGTTAGATATCCGACATCATCCTTACATTTATCTTTTTAATGATGCAAAGAGACAGAGGCCTACCGTCTGCTGGGACATGGATAACATATAATTCGTCCATGTTTTTTATTCATGCCTGAAAGTCGGGACCATTATCTGAAGTGTTTTCAAAGGGTTATAATGAGGTTGGGTTAGGGTGGTTTTATGAGTATGGCCATGTGATTCAATATTGCCAGCCCTAGGTGAGGGCAAGTTATAATGTTAGCATCAATTTAATCAAGTTCACCTGTTTTTGTATGCCTAAATGACAGTCTCAACGTCTGGTCTGATAGAAACTTGTTTCCGCAGCTGGCTTTTTCTATAAAGTGTTTGGTGAAGTTTATCCATCCGCAAAAAGAGAGAGAGAGAGAGAATCTTTTTTTCTGGGAGGGTGAATGGCTGTGGCTTTGACTATGAGATTTAACTGTTCACGTAGATCTTATTACACATCCTCGGGCGAAATGAATGCAAATGCTATAATGTATTGAAGTGAATATTGATGCTTTTGTTGTTCCCAATGTCTTATTTTTCCCATCATTTTCGAGGTCAGGGGGTCTTTTCTTCTCATTTATGTGCTTCTACACATGATTCTTTTGTGTTCCATGTGTGACAAGACAACCAGTTTTGTCTGTGGAGTGGAAACAAGGCAAGCGGGAACTCACACTGACACACTCCTTATCTGTTCTTGTTGACAGCACCTTTGGAGGAAACCCCTTGGCCAGTGCAGTTGCCGTTGCCTCACTGGATGTGATCAGAGACGAGGGACTTGCCAAGAGGTACTAAACACATTACAAAATATTGTGTTTCTTAGCATATAAAAACAAAAACATGCAATGCAACAAAACTGCTTTGTTTTATTTCTGTTGTGATTTGGATAGAAAATATGGGAAAACTTGCTCTAGAAAGAAATGAATATGCTTTTACTTTTTTTTTTTTTAAGTTATATTAGCAAGTTGCAAAGCAAGTTGTAAGTTGCCTTCTTACTTCATGAACAGGTCAGCCCAACTGGGAAAGGAGCTTGCTGGTCAGCTGCTTGAAGTTCAGCAGCGGTACCCTAACTACATAAAGGAGGTACGTGGAAGGGGTTTGTTTAATGCGGTGGAACTCTACAGCAAATATCTGTCTCCTGTTTCGGCCTATGATGTATGCCAAAAGCTGAAGGATAGAGGAGTTCTTGCCAAGCCGACTCATGACACAATTATCCGCTTTACTCCCCCACTTTGCATGAGGTAAGGAAGCATTCAAGGCGGCTGAAACAATATGTTCAAATTGAATTCTTCGCTTGAAGATGAGGGGAAATCAAATTGCACAGCAAACACGCACAGTAGCTCTTTTGTTTGTTTTTTTTTTGGGGGGGGGTATGTGAAGAACTGTCCAGAACCCGAATTTTGCATCCATCGTTTGTGAAACATTACTGTGTTCTAAGACACGACTTATTGTATTGTTTTGCAGTTCGGAAGAGATCCAGGTAGGTTCGAAGGCTCTGGCTGATGTTCTGGAAATCGATCTTCCGAAGATGCAGAAGACGAAGCCGAAAAATGACCCTGCAGCGGCCTCTAATGCATGTGACCGTTGTGGGCGAGTCTTGTACGGTTAACTGTATTTGCATGCACTCCAATTATATTGAGGAATTCATATCATATGACATGCAGAATAAGACGAATAATCACGAACTACACTATTTCATTTTATATGCAAATCCCTTTGGCAGTGGGATCTCTTACATGAGATTGGATCATAGTTTATTGGAACTAAGGTGTTTGTACTAGTTTCTGCGAGTTTTTTCATCTCAGTTTTGGCCTTTACCGCAAAAATGGGGGGAAACAACAAACGTCCTAGATCAGAATAGAATCAAAGATGAATAATCGAGTTGATATAGTAGAGAGGGAAAGTGAGCAATTCATTTGACCTCGCTGTGTACAATAAAATCTCGCCTGTTTGGGTGACTCCCAAAACTATGATTTGGGTAGAATGTCACCTAAACAGCATTAATTTTAATATTATAATCTGAAACCATGGTTTTGAAACATGGTTTCAAGAAAAGTGAATCTATTTTGTTTCTGGCTCAAATTGGAGAGTATGATTGTACCTGTCAGAGTAGATCTCAACAATAATATGACTTTAACATCCCTCAATTAATTTTTTATAAACATATTAATCTTATATCTTATAAATATATATACACATATTAATTATTCATTCATTATATTATCTTATGTATTATTAATTATGTTGGTAAAAAATATATTATTAACAATTTTATTCCTTCAAATTAAAATATATCATAAAATCTATCTTTTATGTAATTATCATATTAACTTGTCTTTTTTAGTAATTTGTACATATAAAAAATGCTTCTGATAACAACTATCTAAACATTTTCACTTCTCGAATCACTTTTTCACAAAATCTATTCTCCTCAAAATCTATTCTCTAGAAGCTATTCTTCAAACTATAATTTGGTTTCATCCAAACACCCCCTAAATTTGATATCTCTCTACCTTCCATGTTGGTCTATTTGAGGCCTGACATTGATGTAGCTTCCCTCTCCGCCTAGAGGTGGGAATCAGGGCCGGCCCTTCACGGTTGGCAGGCTTAAAAAGGCCGGTCCTCTAGGGCTAAAATTTTAAAAATACCCCAATTTGCTAGGCTCGATCCTTAACCAAATATTTGAAATATTATTAACAATGCAAAAAATTAATAACATTAGAATTATATAAAAAAAATTTTAAAAAAAAAATATAAAAGGGCTTAAAAGGGTGAGCCGGCCCTTTTAAGCCATCGACCCTCCAGGACCAACCCTCCAGCGCTTATTTTCCATTTGAAGGGAAAAATATCAAACCCGACCCTCATAATTTCAGGGCCTAACCGGGCTGGCCCGACGAGCTCGACCCGTTTTCCCGGCTCTATCTCCGCCTACCCATTCCAAGTATCAGGACTGCAATTTTAAATAATAACAACAATAATAATAGGAGATTTTTTTCCTAAACATAATTATTTTTCTATTGAAAATAATCCTGATCAAAATATTGACGGGTACTAAATGTAGACAGTTCTCACACCTCTTATAATGCTACCTCCTGTACTAATTATAAGATCCTGTTTGTAAACTGTAAACAATATTTTATAATTATGACCGAAAGTAATAATAATAAGAAATATTAATCTTTTGGTCTCACTTGTCCTTAAATCTTGACTTGATGTGAATCGATTTTTATGATTTTGACTTAAATTAAACTTGGGTCATAAACATTAACTCTTTAGAGCTTGACTCCTAAAGTTTTAACCATTGAAACTTCATGAAATGAACAGTTTTATTTTCTAAAATATAAAGACTAATGTTTTAAATGTTAAACTATAAAAATTGAGTAACTTTAAGTCAAAGTTCAGAAATTAAGTTATAATTAATTTAAAATTTTAAGAACCAAGTTGCATTAAGTTTAAATTTAGGGATTGAGTTTTAACTGAATGAAAATATGAAGACAAAAAAAAAATTCATTTTCCTTCATGATGATGAGCATATTGTTTGTATATAACATAAAATTTACAACAACAAAAAATAAAACATAAAAAGACAAATATTTTGAAATAAAAGTTTGAGGAAGATATTGTAAAATTTCCCGGCAATGCCAAAATCATTTTCGTTTTAATGCGAGAAAGCAATGCGTTACTTGCTCTCCTGTCTTCAACTTGCGAGGCTTTATCCTCTTCTTGGTACTTGGTAGTTTCGTTGGCGAGGGTGTTTGAGTACAGATATTTTCTGTTATTTGTCTCCAGGCATCCCGACCTTAATGATCCAATACCATAATATTTAATGATTTTGAGGATCTCAAAAAAAAAATTTAGTGGTCAATTAAATAAAATTGTATATTATTGATATCCAAGTGATATTTAGTGTGGGAGGACTTATCCACTCGGTCTGAAATGGGACAATACTTTATAATTTTGATCATCCAAATGTCAATTTTTTGAATTCCGAGGCCATGGAGGAGAAGGACCTGCAGGACCATTTGATGCCGCTGTCTTAATAACATTCAACAAGAAAAAGCCATAATGCCTTTTCACAAAAACACAAATCATTAATTGAATAATGAACACGTTGAGATAATCATCTTATGGTTAAATGTTAATTGAACAAAAATTACCCTTACTACTAGCATTAGATTGCCCTTAATAGTACCAAATCATTATTCTTCTAGTCCTATTTATAAGGCACTTCCACCATGTTTCACACAAACCAAGAAAAACCTTAAATTGTATTAACTTTCATTAAAATATAGTAATTTTCCAACTTTACCCTTCAAAAAAAAAACTATCTACACTATAATAAATGAAGGACAATATGATACATTCATACTTCATAATAAAAACTTAATAAAGTAATTTATAAATAGGATCCAGAAAAATATTCTCTCTCTACCCTATAAATAGGACCAGAAGAATATTTGTTAGCACATTATAGGGATGAGATAACAAGGATGCAAAGCGTGACAGTAGGTGCGGTGAAGCCTAGGCTAACTGGCTAAGGATTGAAATCTAAACTTTATATTCAGTGATTGTCACTTTAAGCCTAATTCTAATTAATATCCACCAAAGTGGTTGCTAGATCGCTTTATAATTATTTAGTTTAGCCTCCAAAAGTAGCTTAGACGTCACCCCTTCCCAAAAGTGGCTTGCACACCTCTCAGATATTTGTTTTCCTATTTCTTCCCCATTTCTTTATCATGTTATATCATGTACATACTCGGATTGAAGCATATCATCAGTTATGAATGGTCCTGTGGCCATCTCATTGCGTGAGGCTCAGTGCAACCGTTTTTTGCCCTTTTTTATCCGTCTCAAGACGAAAATGTCTATCAGTGCGTTAGATCTTTGTGCTGGAGAAGTGGGCACCAAATTTAATCCTCAATGCTCGATGTCTTGTCAAATATCGAACTCAGGCTGAGAAAATTAAATCTTCATTTTTCATTGCTAAAAAGTTGGGATATATCATATAATTGCCAAGTGAACTCTACCAATTTAGCCAACAGTCTTAAATTTGAAGTTTAAGAAGATGGTCGCCGTAGTGGAACTTGTCATCTAAAAGAATCCTACTCAACTTAATCCGAATTAGTCTGATGATAAATCCCTTCACTGAAACAAGACAAACCCACCATATCAAGTGCATAAGGGGGGGGATTATTAGGATGCATCATCTTAAACTAAGATACACCCAATTAGAGAAGATATACACAAGTTATGACTCAAATCTGAGGGGAAAAAATGATCTAAGATTAATTATACCACTCTATTCCTTATTATAAGTCACTTGTATCTCAAAAGTTTGTTTCAAAATATAAGTCACTTGAAATATAATTAATGATATTTTTCCAATTTTACCCCTATTAATTTAATAAAAAATTAATTAATCTCTCTCTATCGATCTCTCAATTTTTTATTTCCTATGCAATTTATCCCCCTCCCTCCTCTCTCTCTCTCAACTTTTAATAGGAGTAAATATAAAAAAAAACTAATTAATTTAATGCATTTTTTAATTTGCAGATCTGAGATACAAGTGACTTATAATAAGAAACAGAGTGATATTGTTTTGAACTGGGCATGAAATTGCACGAAAGCTTACACCTTTGAAAGGAAACACCACTTCCAAGTGACTTAAATTTCAGTTCCAAAGTTGAATTTGGCCGGAAAAAGGGGAGGAAAAAAAAAAGTATAGTAATAACATGGGGGTTTTAATCACATGGCGTGTGTCCGTACTTTATTCATATGAGTACGGACGTTGCAGTGTCATGTTGCGGGCGGAGGAAAACGGAGGGATGATGCACACATGGCACAACGTGTGGATGATGTGTTGTGTCAACGGCCATGGGTGGCTCATTACTTTGGATGCAAATCTTAGGGATGGGCTGAGAAGAATTTGAAGTGCACATGTCATGGGATCCCCGTTTGGTATACAGATTATGCTTCCTCCCTCGTTTTTCCGCACTCTTAATACCTTCATTACAGCTAATTAATGCTGTGAATGACTATAAGCCAACTCTATTAATTGCATCGGTCAATAATAAGAAAATCAAAAAATTGTAAAATCAATAAGGGTTGCATGGGAAAAAAAATTAAATAACAAATACAAAATGAATAAATATCTTATACTTAGTACAATTATGTCATGATTAAATAAAGTAAGAAGATGGGATTATGAAGAGGGAGAATTGAAAGCAGGGAAGAGACTAACTGAAAAGTCAAAACCAGCTCATCGTCAGTTAGTTGCAGAGAATCAGCGTTAACGGAAAGGGCGTCGTGGCCTCTTAACTCCAACAGACGCAATCAGGTGGAATGTTAATACTCACTGGTATTCAAGCGCCAATATGTTGACTTAATTTTAATGTCCTGACTTCTGATGACTTGGATTTCTCTCGGAAAAGTTTTGATTTGTTAATGACTTAAGTTTGGCACAAGGAAAAAGAACAGACAAAGAAGTGAGAAAATTTTAAAATGAGCTCAATTTAAAAAATAAATAAGTGATATTAAAAATTTTTAATTAATTTTTGTTATTCTTTTATCTTACAACTTTTTTCTATTAATATTTTAAAACCTTATTTTTCAATTTTTTAAATAGAATTTATTAAAAATATTTCTTTGCTCTTCTTTTTTTCAATTTCCACGTAATAAATGGACCTTAAGTCCAAAACCCTTTTTTTTTTTGGGTGTTTTATGAGATAAAACTCATTATATCTGCCTCAGATAACTTAAAAATATTTTTTAACTTAA